TATTTTGTTTATTGACATGTTGTTTGCTTTATTTAAAAGAGTAATACAATAAGAAATACGAGTTCCAATGATGATTTGTATGTATGTGTGTAAATGTGTTTGATCAAGGTCAATTGATTGAAGTTGATCAATCACCGAGATCAATGTCCTATTGATTCGAATGATTTTATTTAAATTTTCGCTTATCAAGTACTAAAAAACGTTATTGATTTGGATCAACCTTGTAACGGCAGGAGTTCATGACCGAAATTGAATCGATCATTTCTGTTTCCTTAATAAAACAATTATTTAACCAAAAAAAAAAAAAAATAAATCAGCTGGTTACTTAGCAAAACAAAAAATGATGATGAATCGTTCCATTCATGTGCAGCACGCAGTAGATGTTAGAATCCATCCAGTTAGTTTTGCTGCTTTGTTAAAAAAAACGAATCGAGTGAAGAGAAAAAAAAATTCCCAAGAATTACTTGTTGGTGGTCTGTCAAGGAGATTTTTTTTTTTTAATAAAATGAAAGAATCTAAATATCCGAAGCCTCGAGGCATTGCTTGACACACACACACACAAATAAATTAGTATGCATGAACTTTGAGCTTGGTTGGTTGGTAGGTTGATTATAGATGTGTCAAGCCTGAACGTGGTTGCTAGTAAGAATTGCAATTCTTTCGTTGGAATTAACCCGGCTCATATCTTCTTCTGTGTGTGTGTGTGTGTGAGAAATATTTTAAAAAATTTAACTCGTCGTTAGTTCGTTGTACATGGTCGAAACTTTTTTTTTCTTCTTATTATTTTTAGACATTTTTGTATGCCACCACTGTTTTCTGCTTGTTTTGACAAAAAAGTGGTGAAAAAATGGTTTTAGTTTTTCATCATCATCATCATCTGTCATTGTTGTTGTTGTTGTTTTGAATAAAATTTTTCTTCATCACTTCATCCCGGTTTATTTGAATTGGAAAGATTTTTTTCATTTTTTCATTTTTTTTTCTTCAAATATCGAATTTTTCTTCTTCTTCTTCTCATGTGAGTATTTTGTACAATATCGGGTCAAAGTTTAAGGTCGTCAATCATCATCGTATTATTTCTAGTTTGATTGGGTCGGTGCTTTGTTTGCAATGATGATATATTATACGTATTATGTTTGTATATGTGCAGCACTTGCTCATACATCACACACACACACACACATCATTCACATATATATGAATATCGATTATCGATAAAATCTTTTGATCAAAATCGTATCGATAATCATCTTCATCAATGAGTTTTTTCTTTTGAAATGAACAACTTGTCAATCAAATGTCATCTTTGAACAATGAATTTTTTTTTCTTTTTACGATTGCCTTTGACCTTTTTTGTTTTGTTTTGTTTTTTTTTCTCTTGTTCTTTTGTTGTTTTCGATGTCATCATCATCATTGGATGTTTTTTATCCCCCCCGGTTTTCGTTGTTTAATTGTTTCAGATCATTGGCATCTTTTGATTTTTTTCGCAAATAAAGAACAAGAAAAAAAATTTTTCCATTTTCAAGGTTAAGTTTTTCAATTTCAATTTGTTTGATGAAAGTGAAAGTTTTGTTTGTTTGTTGACATTTGTTTGCTTTATTTAAAGAAACAAAAAAAAAAAATTTTGATTCAATGATGATTTGTGTGTGTGTGTGTGTGTTTGATCCAAGGTCAATTGATTGATTGATCAATCTTCAAGATCAATGTCCTATTGATTCGAATGATTTTGTTTCAAATTTTTTAAAACATCAGTACTAAAAAAAACGTTATTGATTTTGGATCAGCAGCAGTAGCAGGTTCATGACCCGAAATTGAATCGATCATTTCTGTTTCATAAAACAATTATTTAACAAAAAAAAAAAAAAAAAATAAATCTAGCTGGTTATAACAAAACAAAAAAATGATGATGAATCGTTCCATTCATGTGCACACATAGTAGATATTAGATATCCATCCAGTTAGTTTGCTGCAATATACACACCGATGATTTATCTCTCTCTGTGTGTGTGTGTGTGTGTGCTTGATTATTGAATTTTTTTTTCATTCAGAATCAAACAAGATGCCATCACTGGCGCCATCAATAATAATAACAGTTTCATTCATTTGTACTACACCCATGATTTTAATCATCATCATCATCATACATGAATGATTGAATTTTTGATTTGGTTTTTTTTTATCAATTTTCATTCAACACAAAAAAAAATCCAAAATTATTAAATCAATGATTATCATCCAAATACAAGGCGTGTGTATGTTATACATACATACGTGCATATAATCCGGTTATGGTTAATTATACAAATGATGGTGCCATGTTGGCGCCACCGGTAATAACAACGATGATGATGATGATGATGATGATGTTTTTTCCACTTTTCATCTTTCATCATTGAATCAAATTTATAATAATTTAATCAATAAATTATAGCCTGTCTTTTGTATTGATGTTTCGATGTTTTTTTTTTTTCTTCATACGATTTCGCCAATGTTTTCCCATTAAAACAATAACAATAACAATTTTGATTAAGATTAATTAATTGCTGCACAATATCCACACAGACACAGACACACACACACACATAAAATCAATATATTTATCAATTCAAATTGTTGTATTTTAATTGTAATTAATTGAATGTGTGTGTGTGTGTGTGTCTAAAAACACTAATTTTTGGTTACTATAACAATATCCGGATTTTATGAATCTAGGTGTGTGTGTGTGTGTGTTTGTTGCATCAATCGATGTTGACGTTGTTGTTGACGTTGTTGTTGTTGTTGTTGTTGTTGGAACAGATAAAAATCCTTGATATCCATGGTAATATATGCTCTCTGTGTGTGTATGTGTATATTGGATCAAACTTAACTTTATAAGATAATTGAATGATAAAATAAAACTGATGTCTGTATGTGTTTGTTTGAACCAGAAACAAATTTTTTTTTTAACATTTTTGATACAATTTCATCAATTAACACTTTTGTTGCCATTTGAATATTTTTATTATTATCCAGAATTATCTTTTTTTTCCTGGCTGTCTGTTTTGATTATCATTGTCCGTCGAACCAAAAAAAAAAAAATTATTACCACCAATATACCATTATTGCCAGTGATTTTATAAAACCACCAACACCACCACCACCACCACCACCATAAATAATCACAAATTGTAATAATGATTGTAAAAATGTAAAATTTTTTATGATTATCATCAAGTGTACGAAAAAAAAAATTGTTCAAAGTTTACAAAAAAAGAAAATAAGATTTTTCTCGTTATCCAAGAAGAATTCAACAATTCATTCGGTTCATTTGATTTGATCTTTTTTTCATCATCATCATCGTCGTCATAATCTGAATTTTTTTTTCACCCACTACCATTAACCATCTGGACAATCTATTTTCATTCTATGTGTCATTTCATGTGTGTTCATTGGTGGGTTTTGTTTATTTATTCTCTCTATGTTCATTTCATTTCATTTCATTTCGTTTGTTTGTTTGTCGTCATCGTCTGATTGACTGATGTGTTCTGGCTTATCCCGTTTCACTAAAAAAGGGAGAGAAATTCTCTTTCTCGCTAAAGATACAGATGGATGATTTTTTTTTGTTGTTGTTGTTGTTATTTTCTGACTACACACTTAGTTTGTTATATTGCCTTGTTATGTCTCTAATGGGTTAATAATTCAAAATAATAAACAAGCTAAAAAAAATTATTCATAACTATGATAGCGATGATGATGATGATGATTGTCATTTGCATGCATCGTTGCGCTTACGATTCACCAATTATCATTTTTTTTCCTTTTTGAAAATAGAATTTAATTGAATTTAATGAATGAATGAATGAATGAATTCACATGACATTGTGTCAAAGATGATAATAGTGTTGTTGATCGTCGTCGGAAGTGATTTTTAACCCGTTTATTTTTTTTTCTCACATTCATTCATTCCCCCGTACATGAGTCCGTTTCCATAATTATGATGCAGATTATAGCTGTATGATGTGTATAAGTATTTTGTATGTATGTGTGTGTTAATAATATGCTTACATCACCAATTCGTTTTGTTTCATTCTTCACTTTACAACATGTTTTTGCTGCCATACAAATGTCTCTGTGTTTTGTGTGTATTTCATTGTTTATGTCTATGATCGGTGATGTGTGTGTCTAAATACATCTGTTCAATTGGAATTCTTTGGTTTTTTTTCTGGTTTTTTTTTGGTATTTGTATTGACGGAAATAAGTGTTTGTTTGTTTATGTGTGTGTGTGTGTGTATTTTAAATGATTTCTGATTGATTGATTGATGATTCTTCTTCTTAGTGAATACGCGGTAAATTGACGTTTTTAGATCATTGCGAATCGTTTTGTGTTTAAAAAAGTTTATTTTTTACATCGTTGTTGTTGTTTTGTTGTTGTTGTTATTGTTGTCAAAAATAAGCGACAGATTTTTACATTTCACAGATTTTCAAATTCAATAATTCCGGGTTTGATGATCAAATTCCGTGGTTGTTTTTTTTTTTTTGGTCTGCATTTGAAAAATACGAACGTCACCGAAAAGTGAAAAAATGGGTTGAATAATTTGCTAATGTAATTGTTATGTTCATTTTTGTCCTGCTCCTGTCATTTTTCATCATCATCATCATCATCATCATGAATGATATGACACAATTAACACGAAAGGTTTGGTTTTTTTGTTTTGTTTTGCTCACTAAAAGTGGAGGTGTCAGAGATTGAGTTGATGACGAAAAAAAAGATGGTGTTATTCACTGCTGATATATTCGAAAATGAAAGAATCTTCGGACCTTTTTGTTCTTTGGATTGCGTGTGTGTGTTTGTGTCTGACATGGAGATTGCATACAGCATTCTTTCTCAATAAAAAAAAACGCACATTTTTTCCTTTCTTTGCAATATGATTAACTGAATGTAACTAATTCTTGAATTTTTTTTTCTCTCTTCCATTCACCCATTTCATTGGTTATCTACAATAATATCACGCAATAATATTCAGGATTATTGGATGCAATCAACATTCTACTGCTGTTGCTGCTGCTACTACTACTACGTTATTCAAATATGATATCATCTTTTCTGATCAACTTGACTGCAACGATATAAACAGAATTTTTTTTTTTAATCATCATTCATCCAAATGTGTAAACAAAGCTTATGATAATCAACAATCGTGATCCAAAAAAAAAAAAAATTTAATTAGTCAATAACAACAACAGTGACAGAAATAAAAATGGCCCAAATTTATCGATCCAAATCATCATCATCATCATTATTATTGATAACAATAATATCGACAACATTAATATCATACACTTGTTCATTACCCGTTTCATCATCATCATCATCATCATCATCATCATTGGTATTGAAACAAAAACCATCAGAATCACCATTCTGTCAATCGCATGCCAATATAAATCAAGTATATAATATTGGCAATGATATTTATCTGGCATTAAATTCACGTTCCATTTATCGTTTTGATGTGAAACAAAAACAATTATATAAACATAAATATGATATTAATGAATTATTTGGTAAAAGTAAGTGTCATCCGATATATTTTTCTATAAATTTTTCCACCACTTTCAATGTCAATAGTTTGACATTGTAGCCATTGTTTATTTTCTTCATTGATCTATTGCAGTATTCTCAATGATGATGATGACGATGATGACGATGATTAATCATAATCATAACATCAATCAATCAATCAATCAATCAACTACATAACAATAACAATAACGACAACAAAAATATTTTTTTTTTATTCGATTAAATCATCCATATACATCATACACATAGATATAGCTCATCAACGATGATAATAATTGAATTATATTACAAATTCTAAATTTATCATCATCATCTATATTGTCAGTATTCTCGAAAAAAAAATAGAAAAATAGAAAAATTCACAATATATCCCATCTATCTATTTTCATTTTGGGTGTGTCACCCATTCTCGTTTGATTTGATTGTTTGTTTTTTTTTTGGCATTCACTTGAATTGATCCAAATATATATATTAGATAGACGATATTACCTACAAAACAGAACATGCATAGCCAATAGTTTAGGTTCGTCGTCGTCGTCGTCATCGTCGTTGTAGTCATTGTTACCAATCCGGATTAACACGTCAAATATGCTATATTTCGAGCAAATTTGACTTTTTTTTTGCTGTTTATTGTTTGTTCGTTTGTTTGTTGCCCTTTGATCATTCAATATATGAGAATGGTTGAAAATGAAAAAAAATTTATTCAGTTTGCAAATTGTTCATTCTGAAACCCAAAAAAAGTCACAGTCAGTTTTAATTTAATTCAATGAAAAATTGCTTCAAGCAATGATGAAATATGTATGGAACAAAAACACACAGTTTTAGATTTAAAAAATTTTTTGACAGTATAGAGTGATTTCAACTACAGAAACATTTGTTACAATTGCTTTTTTTTATTATTAAGACGAAATGTATGCATTTTTTTTTCCACTGGTTTGATTAATCATTGGGTGCCAACCAACCAACCAACCAACCAACCAACCAGACAGACAGACAAACAATCACATCGACTGTCGAAAAGAAAAAATTAATTCATTGAATATTTGTTCATCTCATTTTAATTTGTTGGGCGTTGTTGTGTTTGTTTAGTTTGTTTTTTTCGTTTCGTTTCGTTTCTGATTTCGTTTCGTTTCGTTTCGTTTCTGATTTTGATGCCACATTTTGTATTGTAGGGGGAGCAATGCTTGGCGAATCAAATTTTCAATCGAATCAAATCGAATCGATTCATATATTCAGTAAAATAATCCGATTTTGTCTTTGTTTTTTTTTTTTTTTTTGGACATGGAGATCCCGGAAACGTAGAATGAAAAAAAAAATTAAAAAAAATCCAGGTCGAATAACAACGGTACACAGTATATGGTTATTGTCGTTATTTTGTTTTGGTTGCTAAAATTAGTTTTATTTTGACATAAAAATTCTATCTAGAATTCATTGGAAGGGGAAATAATTTTATTTTTTCATTGATTTCAGCATCATCATCATAAAATGTCATTATTTGGTAGTAATGATTGACAAATTGCCCATCATTAAGACAAAAAAGCTCCACACACACTGCCAATATTACGATCAATTAGAAATTTTGTTTCGTAGTTGCACACCGTATACATTGTTTCTTACTACCTGAATCGTATTTGGCAGATTTTTTTTAACGTTTGAAAAATACGATTTTTATTTGTTTGAAATATCATCATCATCATCATCATGATGTGAGTTTTTTTTCATATTCCTTTTTTTTTCATTTTGTTCCGGTAAGCAATAAAAAAAAAGTTGAAATGAAAAGAAAAATAACTTTTCATGAAGCATATATCATTCCGACATAGCTGAATGAATGATAAATGGATGTTGATGAGCAACGATGATGACGACAATAATCATCATCATCATCATAGTCGTTGTTGGCAGAATTTTGACAGAATTTATTATGATAAAATTAATGGCTAATGATGATGATGATGATGATGTTATGGAATTCATTGTTGATCCATCCAGAATTCATTGTTGATTTCTTATTTCTGCCTAGTTAATTTCTGTTGATATGATGCCAAATAAATGTCGATGATGATGATGATGATGATGATGATGATGATGATGATCTTTATGGTTCCTAGTGATAATAATTATCAAAATAACCATTTCGGCAATGAATGAAAGAGTGTGTTAAATTTTCTTCGGGATTATATCATACACACACACACACACACACACACACACACACATTTAGTTTATCGTTGCGGTAAAATTTGAATGCTATGAATATGTGTGTGTGTGACACATATAGTCATTTCAATGAATATTTTACCACACACACACACACTCATCATCAACTGACTGTACGAATAAATGAAGAATCAAAAAGAAGAAGTTCATCGACATTATGATGATGATTGACATTAATTTTCTTGATGATGATGATGATGATGATAATGGTTTCGGTTTTTTTTCGTCTTCTTCTTCTTGTGGAATGAAATGAAATTCTTTGAATGTTGTAAACCACACCACCCACATTCACATACGCAGCCTTTTTTTATATCAAAAAAAATTCGTCATGTTGTTTACGGCCAAGAAGAAATTAAAAAAAAAAAATATTCGTCGTTTCATTTTAAAATTAGTTTTGTTATCGTTTATCAATCTTTTTGTTGTTGTTGTTGTTGTTTTTTCAAAATGAAAAAAAATTTCAATTAAAATCTAAACAACAACAACAACAACAAAAAGAATGACCGACATTATTAATGGAATGATCATAATATTCATTCATCGTAGATAATTATTTTGTTTTTGTTTTTCTGTTTCTGTTTGGCCATATGTTATGAATATTTGTATATACAGTAATGTTTCAAGTCCAAATCCAAGTGATGATAATCCACCAATGATTGGTGAGCGTGAAGTTCAATGTTTTTTTTGTTATTGTTTCTCCTGTTTAAATAATCAAAAATTCTTGTATTTACGTGATTTTAAACACACGCATTACGAAAAATTCATGTGATTATCATTTTATGTAGGCGATCCGGTTATATAAATGAATGAATGGATAACAATGCAAACAATTATTGCACGCACACACACACACACACAAACAACGGTAGTGATCCAGAAAGATTGTTTTTTTTTTGAATTTTTAATTTCAAAAAAAAAAAAAATGAATAAAAATGATGCAGAGATGATGATGATGAAAGAAATATATTCATCATCATCATCGCATACATCTCTTTTGCATTTATCATTTAAACAATGAGAAAAAACAATACGAAAAAAAATAATTTTTGCGATAATAATTTTAACGCGTGGGCGTCCCCCTTCTCCAAAAGAAAAAAAAACGAAAAACCACAAATTCACATCAGTATCATCATCATCATATCTTTCACCAATTCGATACATCTTTTTGACCTTAATCACAAAAGTTTTTTTTTTCACAGTGTGTTAATCTGTGAATGATTGTGAATGAACAACAACAAAAAAAAACGGATTTTTCGATTTTCCCGACATTGTCATTGGTCAGGGTGATTTGTGTTTTTTTTTTTGGTTTTCCATCTGAAATCTATTCTTGTCCTGATATCTACTAATCTTGAATTATAACCACATCATTTTTGGGACATTTGAATTTTATTTCTATCCAATTCAAATGTTTTTTTTATTGGTCAATTTTAATTGTCATTTTTATCTTTGCTGACCAAAAATAAAATGCTTATATATTTGTAAATGGTTGATTTTTTTTTTGATTCTTTCTCCACATTATGTACGATATTTATTGATAACCCCACATGAATAAAAAAAAAATGATGTAGGTTTTTTGCTCTATTCGAGAGTGGGAGTGTTTCATATCAATTTTTTTTTTTTAATTTGTTGATCCAAAAAAGTGGACAAAAACCTAGCTATTGGGCAAAAAACGGATAATTTGATAGCCACAAAAATTTTAATGCAAAGTAGGAAAAAAAAAAAAAGATAAATTAAAATGAACGATGTTTGTATTCACACACACACACACCATCGACACATTCTCCAATTTTGGGATGATGATGATGAAAGTGAATAAAAATGAAAAAAAAATGAAAAAAGATGTTTTCCGAGTGTGTGTGTGTGTGTGTGGTGATAAATTGTGATGAAATACAAAAAATTATCAAAAAAAAAAAAAATGAAAAAATTGATCCAGAAAGCGATTGCGTCCGTTTGAATAAAATTTAAAGATTTGGATCATTATTTAAATTTGATTCATTTCATACATTTCCCATATTTGTAACCTGTAGGTTGTTTTCGGTATGTTACTGTTACTGCGTTGTTTTACCATGATGATGATGATGATGATATCACGAGATTGAAGAAAAAATTTTCCAATTTATAATGAATTTTCATTTGAAAAATGTGAATATTTATGGCTGTAGGATGTATGCATTCTTTAGCATAGAATGATAGTGATCTATCCATACATCTGTAGAAATGAAAAAAATTTTGAATTTTTTTTTCTTTTCACCATTAAACCGTTGATGAAACAATATTCGGGTTTGTTGAACTTTTTTTTTCGTTTCGTTCTTCTGATTTACGTACCACCACCATTTTGTCGGTGATGATGATGATGACGATGGCCAATGAAGCAAGATGATGAGATATGATATGATATCAAACATGAATTGAATGAAAAAATTACCGTTTAACCATGATCATCATCATCATCATCAATTGAAAAATATGAATGTATCTGTTTTTGGCGTCGGTAGCCTGAAGCCTCGAAGATACTTACACTATGAATATTCAACTACCGGATAATTCAATGTAGTAGAATCATTTGAATCAAACAAACATGATTGACGAGAGGAATAAAAATCAAAAAATCCCAATCAATTTGATTTATCGATCATTCTTGATTTTTTTTTCGTTCTTCGGTACAAAAAAATGAAAATAAATTTGGGTGCGACCTCATCCGAGCATCAAAAACGGTGGTGGTTTGGTTTGGTGTTGTTTTCTTCTTTCCTTTCTTGTTTGTATCAATGTGAATATTTCACACTTGAAATCTAGATATGAAATGAAATGAAATCGATCACTAACGGTTGATTTTTATCATCATCATCATATTCATATATGCATTGCATTTATTGTGGTCGATAATCGATAATCGATAATTTTTTCCCCACTCAAAAAAATCCACCCAAAGACATATTTTTAGGATTATGATTGATACATTTTAACAACACAGACGGACATTTCTTTTTCTCAAATTATCAGGTTCCGTTATTGATTGATTGATTGATCGATTGATCGATCTATCGATCGATATTAATTGAAAGGGATTTGAAAATCATTTATCGATAAAAAAAAAATTATCAATAATTTCCACCTAAATCAATGATGGCCCAATCATCAATTGATTTTTGTCAATGCACAAATTAATCGAATCGACTTCTTCTTCTTCTTTCAACACCAACAAAAAAAACCATTGATTTTATTCAAATGTAGAATTTATCCACAGAAAAAAAAATTTTTGCTTTTCACAATTTCCAGTGCATAAATTTAGTTTTTATTTTGAGAAATGCAAAAAAAAAATGCCGACCAATGATGAGAAAACGAAAAAATAAAAATAAAATAAAAACGAAATCAGATCATCATTATCATCATGTACAAGCATTTAAATTTTTGATTTCTCGTTACATTTTAATGAATATTCATTAATTTTTATACACGGAAATCGTAAACAAACTGATAATAGTGGGAAATGAAATGAATTTATTTTTCTTGCCAAAAAAAGGGTTCAAGTTATTTTCGTTGAACATGTAATAGTTCCATGGTGATGATGAATATAATAAATGGGTTTAATTGCTATTTTCGGTCCATGATTGATTCGAAATTTTTTTGCTTGATCAGCAGCCCAATCGATAGATTCGGATCGATTCGGTGAATTTTTCATTTTTCCATCCATCCATCCATTTGACAAACATTGTGCTGCTGATTTACCCTGTGACACAAATCAGATGTCAAATTTGAATTTTTTTCACTCTCCTTCACTGATCAATCAATTTGATCATCATGATTGAAATGAGGAATGAAAGCCCGAAAAATGATAAATGATGTGTGTGTGTATGCGCGAGGCAATCAAAGAAAGATTTGTTTCTTCAAGGTGTTGGAAATGAAAAATTATTATTATTTGATTCATATGTGACTAATGTATAAATAGATTTTGATTTCCTCTTCACCATTGATGATGATGATGATGGTGATGATGAATGACAACAAAAACTTTCTTCTCGCTCTCTCCGTTTTTTGGCAATCAATTTTTAATTTAAAAATTTTTTCTTTCTTTTGATCAATAAACAATTATCTTGACTGTGAATCTATTTTTTTTCCTACTTGATCCATCGATTATTCACCACTGTATTAGACAAACAGATCAAAAAAAAAAAAAAAACAACAACAAAATCCAGACATTCAGATCATTTTTATCATTTCAACGAAAAAATTCATATTCTCTTATTGAATGAATTGAGAGAATATTTCCATTATCAGTGGGGAAAAAAAAATTCCTCTTGCATAATAATTCATGCAAAATCTGGGCCAAACAATCGTTTTTTTTCTTTCTTTCCGCTGTTGTTGAAACATTTTGAATTTATCTTGGATTTATCAAAAAAAAATTTTTTTTTTTTTTTTACACAATATAAAATCGTACAACTTTATTAATATTGTTCAGTATACCATCTTGTCAATGTCGTCGAATTTTTTTCTTTTTCTTCTTCAATTTGTATATTTCATTGCCGACAGCATCGATCGATCTAAACCATCATCATCGATGCATCGACTAGCCAAACACATAGTTATATCTAGATCTAGATTTAAGAACAAAAATGAAACAAAAAAATTCGGTCAAATTCTCTTTGAATAAAACAGAGAAAAAAATGTTGTTGTTTTTCAGTTGTTGTTGTTGTTGTTCAATTGGTGCCAACAAAGATAAAATAAAAATTTCGACATTGGAATTTTTTTTTGACTAATTGAATTGTTGTTGTTGTTGACTTTGTCGTTTGTTTATATGGCCTGATGTAACGAATTTTGACCTGTCCAATTTTTTTTTTAATTGACACTTTGTGTTTGTTGTGTGTGTGTGTGTGTGTGTATGACACAACTTACGAACCGCCAAATCCAATAAATGATGATGATGATGGAATGGAATGGAATGGACTTTTTTCTTTGGCTTGTTTTGACTCATATCTTTGAGTGTATGTTGTAACCATTTTTAGGACCTAAGTCTACTACTAGTACTACTATGGTCAAAGGTCATCATACTTAATGTTTAGTGAATTGATTTTTTGGCCTAATTGTTTTTTTTTGTTTTGTTTGACCGTCGTAGTCGTCTTCCAATCAATTCAAAAATTTCACTTTACCATTTTTTTTCGCATTTCCAGGTTAATTGATTTTCATTTTTTGTTTTCTTGTTCTTTCGAAAAATCTTGTTCACGCCGTTGTTTTGTTTTGTTTGGTTTTTTTTCTGGCAAAAAAAAAAATTCTTTTGTCTACAAAAATCAAAAATTCCGGCCATATCATTACTACAGGCCACACACACACACACATAGAGAGACCATGGGTACAGGAGCCTTTCTGGTGCATATATACATGACAATCACTATGGGCCACACACACACATAAATTTTTGTTTTCAACAAATTTCAAAATTTAATTTTTTTTCTGTGATCGACAAAAACAAAAACAAAAACAAAAAACAAAAAACAAAAAAAACGTGACTAAACATGCTTATCAATTGATAGGATTTTTCTTGTTTCTTGTTGGAAAATCTGAATCAAAAAAAAAAAAAAAAAAATCAAATCCAACCAGATGAAATACGCGATTTATTGAATTCGATGAATAAAAAAATTTGTTTTCATCAAGAGGCACACAATTGATTTATCGTTTTACCGTAAACGATTAGTGTATGGTGGTATATATTGGAGAAAATAAACCCAGAAAAATTAATCAAGAGAGAGAGAGGAACCATAATAAATTCAAATTAAACTCTGTGTTTGTAACATCTAGTGATTTTTTTTCCAATGAAATTTGTCCGATGATAACTTGCTATTAGTTCCGATGTGTATATTTTTCTTTTTTTTTTGGGGAGAAATAATTTGTTATTCAAACAAATTATTGATCATCAAACATATAACATCGAATTAAATTATTGCTCATCATCATCATCATCATCATTGGATTCCCAGCATAGAAAATCTATGTGATATCATCATCACGATGACATTGTAGAAAAAAAAAATTTGGATTTTTTTTTTGAATTTAAATTTTGAATTTTTTTTTTTATTTTTGCTTACCTGTCATCGGTTGCCTGAAATTGTTGCTGTTGTAGTTTTTGGTTTTTCATTTCATTCGCACACACACATGCACACACATTTCATGATGATGGTGGTCGTTTTTTTCCACAAATTTCCATAAAATTACAATTATAAACCATCACCAAATGTTCATTGAGCTTTTCATTTCATTCCATTCCATTCCATTCATTTATTCATTCATTCAGGTAGATCGAATTAGATAAAGTAGATATTTTTTTAAATTCAATGATCATCATCATGATGATGATGAAGAAAAAAACATCCACTAATGATGAATGTGTACATTTGAATGTAAAATTTTTCTAAAACTCTTAGGGTCAAAGGTTGCATTTTTTCAATTGTTCATCATTATTATCATCATCATTTAAGTTCACAGGCGGGGGCGGCAATATTTATAGTGAGTTAGTTAGTTAGTTGGGGTCATAAATTATATTTCATTTCATTTCATTATTGTCTGCCTGTTTATTGTGGTTGTTTTTTATAGCCACGTTCATTTCATGTGAATGACTATGATGCGAATTTTTTTTCTGTTTTGTTTTGTTTTGTAAATAATGAACAACCATGATCAACCAACCGCATCATGATCATCATCATCGTTTGAAATTATCATTATGATGATGATGATGATGACAGGTCGCTTTACTTATATTGCCACTGACATTACCGAATCGCACACACACACACACACACATTGGCGGCAAACATATTTTTGTTGCGATAGTCATCGGTTTTCGTCAGGGTTAATTAACTTTGTAGAAAAAAAAACTTTCTCTTAATAATCATAGTAAATAATAATCATGATGATGATGATGATGATTCGAAAATGATACGTGACCCATGTACGCCCATTCATTTTCATGATCATTTTGGATCATCATCAACGTTTTTTTCCCAGTGTTGTTGTTGTTGTTTATGTTGATTTTTAAAATGATTATATTATCATCCATCGATTGATCGATCGAGAAATATATTCTGTTTGAAAATTTTCAGTCAATAATGATTTGATTTTTTAAATTAATTTCGTTTTGCTTTAATGATTTTTTCCATGTTTATTTTCTTCATATCACTAATAATTGATTTTTTTTTTTTCATATTTTGCCACGTGTTTGATGATGATGGTGATGAATTAATAGATAATTTCCGTTGGATTGATACTGTCATCAGTTTAAATGGTGTATGCAAAATTTCAGACATATGTCAAGGTGATCAATATGATCATGATCTTGAACGTATACACATTGTTATCGGTGGCCGTATTATTGATAAAGATCGTTCATATGGTCTTGCATTATATGATCTTAATGATGATGGTGATGGCAAATTACGTTTATTGGATCGAAAATCATTGGATTCAACATTGTTAACACGTTTAAATCGTACCGGTTTAGATATTAATATGTTAGAACGTGAAGGTTCCATTATGTATGGATCATTTTGGCCATCACAAAATGGTAAATTAATTCATTTGAATATGATGAATGTTTTTCATTAATCAATTTTGTTCAACATTATCATTAGGTGTTCAATCTGGCAATCTTTACTATCGTTCTGGATTATTTGTACCGGATAAATCGGATTTATTTTTCTCTGTATATGATACGATGACCGGTTTATCACAACGTATAATTCGTAAACAATTAACGGTCACTACAAACGATAGGCAACAAAAATCATCATCATGGGAAAATCTTAATGATCAAATGATTGATGGAAAATTTGTAATTGGAATGTTTAATTTTGTTCCTAAACATCGTTCATTTGGTTTAACAGATAATATGGAAATATTGGAATTTATATGGACAAATTTCGATGAACAGAATCCACATGATGAAATTCGATTCATTCCAAAGGTGATTGATTTTTTTTTCTTTGAAAAGAAATTATGAATTTTAATATTTTTTTTCTAATTTCACCGATTATCATCTAGGGTTCTATACGTGAATTATTAAATTGTTATGACAATTCAACCGAATTGGAAAATGAATCATCAACAATAACCGCTAGTCCAACTACAACAACAACGACAACGACAACAACCACCACGACGACGACGACTACGACTACGACAACATCAACAACGACAATGAAACCAGAAACTGTAACCAAATTACCATTACCACCAAAAGTGAATAATATTGATGAACCAAAAACAATTGATAATATCAAACCAAACAGGAATGATGTCAGTATTGATGATGATGATAATGATAATGATGATGATGATGATGAACAGGAAGAAATACCAATATCTGAAGAAAATGAACCACCAAGTTTAAATGATATTGATCATCAACGTGATGATCCAAATAATGTAAACATTTATGCAAATCATAATCATAATCATCAACAACAACAACATTATGTCAACAATAAACATCTGTCATCATCGATTGCACCGGAATTGGCTGAAGCATCTGCACGTGGTCCATATAATTCACATGATAGTGGATTAGTATGGACATTTGCAATCCTGACGACAATGTTGGTCATTTTAGCCATCATTATTCTTGTGCCCATATTGATTATAAGTAAGTGATGAATGAATGAATAAATTTTACAACAACAACAACAACAAAATTCATTTTATTTATTTATTTTTTAATCCTTTTTTTCTATTGATTTAATTTTTAATTAGGATATCGATCTCGAAAGAATCAAAAAATGTATTTGAATGCAAAAAAATCATCAAATTCAATGAAAAAACAGAAAAATGCTAATGGCCTTGATCAATCAAATTGTTCGGAAGAGGTTCAATTGATGAATACATCGAATATTGATAAATAATCGAACTATTATCACATGATTCTCTCTCTCTCTCTCTCTCTCTGCCTATCCTATACTATCCGCGTTATTCAATATTATTATTATTGTTTTTCTTTTTTTTTTTTGAATATTTTGTATATGATATAAACAACAGATATGAAAATGAATATTTTTCTGATTACTACATAGACACGTACACACACACAGTTGATTGTAGAATTTTTTTGTAAGAATATTCAACAAAGTTTTAAACGCCAATAACAGAATTTAAAATAAATATTCTGATAATAATCCAGTCACAATTTTTTTTCTTTCAATAACATTTTTCCTCTCCATACACACACACACACTCACCTCATTTTTTTTTCATCACATTTCATTTCACTTATCTAATCCAACCTCATCATCATCATCATCATCAAACACCATCATTATACATGACACGCAAAATTCGTAACAACGTGGAAAATAATAATTCCCAAATGGCCAACAGAATTTGAATATTAAAAAAAACAAATTCATTACGATCTCTTGATTTTCTTTTTGATTTTTGTTTTGTCATCGCTATTCTCTCATTGTTTGCAATTTAATTGGCCACGTTCCGTTTGGATACATCATGCGTTGTTCAATGTTCTGTGTCAATTCAAAATATCTGAAAATTCTATTGACTCTTCGTGTGTGTGTGTGTGTGTATGGAATTCATGTTTTTTTTTGTATTTATTACAAATTTTGTACATTTTTCTTTTTCATTTCTTTTTTGTTTTGCTTTTTAAAATTTCCATTTGAACCTCACCATACACATATAGCAAACAGAGAAAAAAAAACAATGTGTCATGTAACCCTGTGTATCCATGAACTTAATCTTTAATTTTTATTTTCAATTTCAATTTTTTTTTCGCATGTGTTCCTCATTCATTCTAATCTGACATTTCAAACACACACACACACACACGCACACATACACAAATGGACAGAGAGATCGATCATTCATCAATTATTGATTGATCATGATGATCATTATTATTCATTATTATTATCATTTTCATTTACATTTCATTTTATTTCTCTTTCTCTCTCTCTCACTACTGATTAATTTTCTTTATAAATAAATAAAAATAAAATTAAAAGTTTAATTTTTCCGAAAATTCCCGAATCATTACTTTGTTTTTTGAATTCAATTCTAGTCATGATATTCATGATATGCTAAGCAACCATAATTCTTAGACAATAAAACGATCGATTTTTTTTCATCGTGAATAAGGAATTCAATTAATTTGAGTTATTAATTGAAAAAAAAGTTTTTAAATTCTACGAAATGAAAAATATTTTTTTGAAATTTTTCTACTGTAATGATAATTTTCCTATAAAAAAAGTCGTTTAATATATGCTGTACAAACAATTTATGTGACAAGATATTTTTTCATAATTTAATACGACACCACATCATGAACAACGAGTTTCAACTCGTCCATTGAATATACGGAATCGAAATTGAAATCACATCAAAAATGACATCATCAATATCGAATATAATCAAACGAAATTTAAGCCTTTCATTGTTGAAACAAAATCATAACAAATCATTATCGGAAATTTTCATCGAAGATTTCATATTTATACGATTATTTGCATTTCGAATGAATTTTACTCTTTCAGATTATTGTCAACAACGAATAATGAAAACATATGAAACATTTAAACCGGCATTGGTGATAACAACAAATTCATGGCTATTATTAGTTATATTGACATTGATGATTTTTTGGCCCACAAATGGTTTGTTTATGGATGTAAAAATTTTTGAACAAATATTAAATATACAAAGAGCTGATTTGCTATTCACTCAAATCATATTCTTTATCATAATCAAAGAATGTTTATGGCTTCATTGTATGAACGAAGTTATCAATTATCGTAATCGATATATTGATTTTTTATTATCAATTTTACCAAATTATGAACGAAAATGTCATCATAAATTGCAAAGATATTTGAACAATTACATTTGTATTGAATATTTCATCATCACCTGGCTATATTTGATCATTGTTTTATTGATGTTAAGTATAAGCATTCTGATTCCTCGATGGAATTTTGTTTTGTATATGGATGGTCAAATTAATTTCGTTCAATTTATGTCCAGTTTTCTTTATTCATTTTTATATGGAATGGACATGATTTACATTACATTTCAATTTTTAGTTTGGAATCTTTTTTTCTATTCTGTTTGATATTTTATCGAGAAAAAATTAAAAAATTATTCACTTTCTTGACATTATCCATTAAACGGCGATATAAATCACCATATTTTATGAGAAAAATATTCTGGAATCTATATCATCGTGAATACATAACTCTATATTCAAATATTGCTAAATTAAATGAATCGGCAAAATTTTCGTTACTGGCCGTAGAAACCATAAGCAAATCAGCAGCCATGATTGCATGTGTATTTTATAGTAAACAAGTCAAAATGACTATGATCAATTCATTACTAGTATTTTGTATGATATTTGCCTTTCTATTTGTGAATCTTATGTATTATCAAATAGCATCACTTCCAACCTATAATACAAAATGTATTCAAATCATATTTAAATGGTTGGCACGTTCACAATGGTCGGAGAAATTCGTGAAAACAAATAACATTAATTGTTTTAGCCATAAAATTCAACAAATACGTGGACGACAATCAATGAAATGGAATTTTTTCGTACAAACAATGACTGACAATAAACTTGGTTTCACTTGTGGCCATATTTTTACATAACAAAATATAAATTTATTGAAATGATTCTTTTGAATATACCGTTAATTTTAATGCTTTATAAACATGTTTCTAATCTATAAAATTAATCAAAAAACTTTCAATTAAATCTATTTCAAGCCTTTTTTTCACCGATCGAAACAAATTGAATTGAATTGAATTGATCCTTGACCTTATTGATGATTTCAATGAACATGATGCATTCCGTAATGATTTGTCATACATTGAATGATTGAATGATGAATTTAATTGAAATTCCAGTCAATGATGGCCCACACACACACACACACACACACACACAATACAATTGGTTCAATTCATGCGAATGATAATTGAAAAAAAAAATTTTCATGGTCCCAGTAATTGATTTCTGAAAAAAAGTCAACGAAAAAAAATTCCCAAATGAATCCTATCTATTCACATCGAAGAGTAGAGAAATAATAAATAAATTTCCCACATAACAAATATTACATTGTAGACATATAATTAATCAAATCAAATTTGATCAATTGAAAAAATTTCAATATCATCAAATGTTTGTAAAGGCGGTGCCTGTTTTTTTTTTTTTTTTTCCACTCAAAAGCCACTACCCATTGTGATTAACACTTTCACTTATCTTTAAATTATACCATTGATTGATTTGATTGAACTTATCAATCACATGATACACACACACACGCACGCAAATATGGTCATTTATAATCACGATCAAGATCATCCAAAAAAAAAACAAAGAAAAAAAATTTTTTATAATAAACAAAAAAAAATGATTGACTGATTGGCCTGGACTGTTCGAACAAATAACCAAAAAAAAGTCGAATTGATCTATTTACTAATCAAAAAGACAAGACAGCAGACAATTATTATTATGATTATCGACAAAATGATTGACATTGATCATCATAGGCAACGACGACCACACAAGTTTTTTCTTCTGTGGTTTTTTTATGCGTATTGATTGAAAACCGAAAACGATAATGAAGATTGACCGAAACAAAAAAAAAAAAAATAATGACACAAACACACATCTATTATGATAATTGGTCATTGGCCTAATTCGTCCACTCTCTCTCTCTGTCTCTTTTTTATCTCTTTCATCCAAACATGGACATAAAATTTTTCTTATTTCCCTGCTAGTTGTTCCTAGATAAAATATATAGGTCCATCATTGCAATTTGTCATCATCTTAACTAAACGTTAATTAATATATGATGACGATCAACATTTTATGCTGCATAATAATTGGATTTTTTTTTATTTCATCAAATTTCTCTCAGTTAGTTAGTTTTTTTCCGGTCATTTCCACAAATTTTCGTATTTCAAGTAGCAAATGTGTAGCAGAATGATTTTTTTTTCTAAACATCACTTTCACTTCAATCATGATATTGTATGTAATGTACCGATTTGTTTGATTTGTGTTTTGTTTTTTTTTCTGGTCATAGTCTTTTTTTCTCTGTTTGTTATGACTGCCAGATTATCATTATTGGATGAAATCATTGATCATTCATTGAATGAATGGATTTGTTTCGAGTGAAAATCCTTGTTGTTGTTGGATATGATTTACATTGGTTTTTTTTTCGACCATTCTGGCTAATAAATAAAATCATCGTTGTATCCCCGGGTATTGGAAGAGAGAGAAGGGAAAAACTGTCGTATTACTTTGTTTGCATCACAAAAAATAATAAAATCATATATAATAATAATGATGATAATTGGTAAACAAAATTTGTTTTCACAAGTTTTTTTTGTTGTTGTTGATTTTTTCGTCATATATTTTTCCGTAAAATTTACGGCGTAAATTATTATATTACTTTGATGATGATGATGATGATGGTCGCCAGTATTGATTATCACATACATTGATCATTACATTACATTACATAACACACAGAGACACTTGACTTGATGACCTAAATTTTTTTTTGTTCTGGAATATTATTATTATTATTAACCATATGGTATCCGTGTTTGTAAAGCCTCTCATCACCTAGTCGATGTATATTTGTATATATATATATATGTGTGTGTATTGTCAATATTTTCATTTGTCTAAAATATTTATATTGTGTTTGCAATAATTATCATTTGGCGCCAATTTTTATTTTAATTTTCAATCAATCAACATAAATCTTATGATGATGATTGATTGATTAAACGTTGATGACAATCATAATGATGATCAATGATCGATGATCGATGACGTGTCAATAAATATCGTAAATTTTTCATTTTTTTTTGTTCTCTATACAATGACAAAAATGAACAATAATAATAACTGGCGCCAATTCATCAAAAAAAAAAAAAAAATTTATTTATTCAATCTTTTTTTTCAAATATCATCACTTTTATATCGCCATCTAGTGGTGAAATTAATTGTTGAAAATTAGAATTCTCTAGAAATGATATGAAAAAAAAACAATTTAGATCACAATGGAAAATATCACATGGAATTACAATGAATTTTTTTTATGATTTGTTGCCAAGACGTAGTCAATTGGATCAAATGGATCGATAATTTTCCATACGATTTATAGATTGAATGACAATTCAAAACATCGATTTATAAATAGATAACGGTAAAAGATTAAAGAAATTCTCTCTACATTCAAGTACATCATCCGGATCGTGATTTTATTTCTGAAGTACAGTAAAGATCATGATTACAATGATTGTATATAAATTGGACTTAAATCTAACAGCTCTAATTGCTTGTGATTGTATTGGAATCATTTCGCATGAAACACGTACTCATTTCAATAATGACTCTACGTTTATCTAATATTATGACCATTTTGGTCATCATTTCTATTGTTCATTCAATGATTATCATCAGTTCATCAGCATCAATCATTTCGTACAAACGACGGGTCCGAATGACCAATCAACCAGCAACACCGTTAGCTGGCAAGTATTATTATTTTGTGCGTTACCTTTTAATTTGATTAATTAATGCTTGGCCAATAATTGGAAAATATAGAATCAATTAAAAATGTATTGGAACGATCGGAAAAAATGTTGACCGATTCATCATGTAATGGTGGTCATCATGCTGAAACGGCACCCGAAAGTGAAAATAATAAACAAACATTCTGGAGAATGATCTTATCGGATGAACGAGCATATTTAAAATCATTAACGAAACGATTGAAATCTTTAGCCGAACATGTGGACAATCCGTTCTTGCAACAATCAGCTCAATTCAGTATGGATGAAATGGAATCGATGATGAAATTTTTTCCATTCCTTTGTGATCTAATCGGTGGTGATGAAGACGATGATGATAGCTATTATGTAGGCATTTCTGGATTAAGTGATGTAATCGATGAAATTGTTGATGTAGCCCAGATCGAAGCAACTTTTTTACTGCGTGAAAATCGAAAACCTGAATCTGATCAGATTTATGATAGATCCAAATTTTTACGTGATCGTCTACAAGATTTGCAATCAAAAAGAATAACTGATAACCCACAAGATGTTTATAATCAAATCAAAATAGTTTTTACTGAAATGGCCAAATTTGAACATTTCATGTTGGATTCTCAAAAACGTTTCAGTGTTAATTATGCTAATGTTATTAATTATAATTATTAGTTTTCTGAATTTGACATTCAATTGAAAATTTTCGATTAAAATTTGAATATTTTTTCTATCAAAAAAAAAAAAAAAAAAAATTCCGATCATTGCTGCCATCTAATGATGATTACCTTGAAACAATAAATCGAAACCACATGATTGCTAATTGTTTGTCGTCGTTGTTGTTGTTTTCATTATTTCAGTTCTTTTTTTTAGATTATATTTTTCATCACATTCATTTCATGGATAATCAATTAGATTCCGGTTCATCATCGAATTTTAAACATATTTCTTTGATACCTAATTATCGTGCCTTACAAATTTTACAAGAACAATCATCAAAAATCGATAAAATCCTATCATCAACGGATTGTGATCGAATATTGCACAACATTGCCAAAGAATCGACATTTGGACAATTTCGAAATTCCCTTAAAGATGTTGACAAACACATTAAACTAAATTCTTCTGATGCAATCAAAAATTTAAATCACGAACGATCCAAATGTTTAGCCAATGAATTGAAGCAGAATTTTTCGTTAACACCCACCGAAATCGTTATGGTTCTGAATGAAATGCCCAAAGATGTATCATTTATTGAATTAATGTTTCCGGGAAAATTTAGCAAAGAACAATCTCTTCTCTTGTTCACATTGATCGATCAATTTCGTCATTTTGATGACACTTCAAACGATAATAATGGCCAAGGCCAGAATGAAAAGCAAGAACCAAATATTTCATAGTGATTGTTGCAAAAATGTTGTTGTTTGGCAATGACACTGTTTTCGATTACATTTGTATTATCAATATTATTTTTTCTCCGAATCTAATTCAATGATGTTGATTGATTAATATTGTTTTTCTTTATTTGCTGATAATCACCTGTAGCAATAAGTCAAGTGTTCTAATAAAAGAAATCTTAAGACAATATAGCTATATGAACGAAAACAAAAATCTTGATTCTTATTTATTTCGGGTTAAAAAATATATTTTGATCATCATTCCAATGACATCGTTTTTTTTTGCCGATAATCAATAATGTATTCACAAACAATGGCATTTCGAACGTTTTATTTTACCATTATTCTGGTCACCATTTTGATCATATTCAATTATCATTCGGTAATGGGAATAAATTTGAATTATGAAGATTGTGGTAAGCTTAATAAATTAATAAATTGATGATTGAAATGTTGATAAAAATTTAAATTTATCTAGGACTTCACAATGTTTATTCAGTAAACGTTGATGGCTGTGATGATCAACTATCCAGCAATGATGAATGTGTTATAGTGGATAAAAATTCTATTACTTATTATCTTACATTTGCATCGGCAACCACTTCAAGTAAATTTTTCAATAATGAAACATTTCTACAATCCGGTACGGAAAATATTACCAATATTGTTGGTGATCTATGCCAGAATCCAAATAAATATAATATCGAAAAATGTCCTATTGAAGCTAATCATATATATAGAATTAATAAATCAATCAATTATATGAATCAATTTGCGGTAATTATAAATTATTCATTGTAATTGGTTCATGATGATCAAATTAATGGCTATTTGTTGTATTTAGTTAAACTATCAATTGACTCTTGAAGATAAATATTTTTCCAATGCTGATTCAAGACAAAATCCACAATTATTGGCCTGTTCTCGGATTCGTTTGCGATATTATGGTAAGTGATCTTCCACTTCTATCACTCAAATTCAATGGATGAATTTTTTTTTCAATTTGAAATAATAGATAATCGTTATACAACAACTGCTCGTCCAGATAATCGAACTACGAATAGACCAGATGATCAATATCGCGAATGGTTAGAAATATTAACAAGTGTATTACGACAAAGTGAAGAATTGGCCAATAAAACTGAAACAAAATTACGACAACATTATCCGCATCAAAATTCGAGCAATCCAAATCATATTCTGCGAACAGTAGAAACACAATTAATACAATTACGAATAGATGTGACTGGAATTTGGATAGAGATTAGGCATCGAATAATGCGTTCAGATGAAATGCGTGAATTTCGTCTATTTATCGAACGATCATCGGATACACTATGGAAACATGGTGAACAACTTCGTTTAACTATAGATATTTTGGATGAATTTGGTTGGGATTTTCATGATCAATCCAATGAATGGATACGTAAACAAATTACACCAATACTTGAACAACTATTACAACGATTACGTTCTATGTATGGCTATCTTGAACTACATCATACAGAAGGAAATGATCCGACAAAAATTAATGAATTCATACAGGTTATTAAACTCTACATAGATTTTATTAATCAACATCGTTCCGATCGATTTGATCAAAGTAGTTTGGATCGAATGTTGATCTATGTTCGATTTGTTGAAGATCGTCTATTTGAAATGGAAAAACAATACTATGGTGATGATTATTATCGACATTATCATCATGATCATTCTACACACAGAACGATGTCAACACCAACAACAAGATATTTTTCTTTTTCTTCGATAAAATGAATCATTTTTTTCTCTGACATTATTTTAATTTAATCCAAGGCTATATTAATAATGATTTCTATTATTCTTAATCTTTTGTTTACAATAAAATATGATATGATATTGTTGAAATCGATCCGTTTGGTCCAATCTAAGATACAAAATTTTTTTTCAATTCCACTCATGTGATCATCATCTCATTGACATAGAAGATGTCTGTTGTTTGTTTGAGTGTTAATTATTATTATCAAAATGGTTGCAATATCATAAGAATTGAATCGATAAATTATCGATTTTTTTTTAAATATACACATCCTACATACATTTACATAACGATCACTTTTTATCATCAAGTGTTTTTGTTTCAAATAAAATTGATGTTTTGATTTTTCTTTGGAAACCATTGATATTAATTAGAAATTTTTTTTAAAAAAGTATAAAAGTGGCCATAAATCGAAACCATTTAATCGTCGTTATCTTTATTATTATTTATATCGATTTGATCGTGAATAATTATGACTAAATCAAGCAACATTAAAATGACCATGTTTTCATGGCGATTATTTGCTACATCGTAGCCATTGTTTCATCATTTTCTATTCCAACAGGTTTGATTTCTTAAATGAATTTCACAATAAAACTAACTTCACAATTGGTTATTTATCGTTTTTTTTTCTTCAAAACAACAAAAAGACATTCAAGATAAAAATTCAACATTTGACAGTTACTTGACAATAGCTGTGGCCAAATATGAGCAAGCACATCAACGGTTGAAAGAAACCCAATTGAATGCTTATAACAACATAATGACAGAATCTTTGGATTATTTTAAAATATTAATTAAACGTGCTAAATCCTATAAACAATATCTTAATCATCCATTCATGCAAAAATTGGTCGATTATACAATCAAAGATTTGGATAAAATGAATACTTTTATACAGCTTCTTATTAAACTATATGATCAAGGCAATGATTTAACTATGCCTATATTGAGTGATTTAATTGACCAATTAATTCAACAATCCGGTATCGATGTTGGCTATCTTAGTTCATTGGAAAATGCTACTGCAACAAAAGATGCACAACAAATTTCTCATCTATCCAATATGATGCGAAAAGATTTACATGCTTTAAAACAATTGAATTTATATTCTAATACAAAAGAAGTTCAAGAATTGGTAAAAAAATTGATTCAAGAAATGTCAACTTTTCAAAATACCGTGTTGGAAGCTGAAAAACGATGGAATATTAATTCGGTCACTTTGTCGTTTACGTAAACACTTTGTTCAAATTCATCGATAATAATAATTTATTTTATTATTCATACAAAAAAAAATTGATTGAAATCCATTATAATAAAAAAAATGATCATAAAAAAACTGAAGTTGTTGTTGCTGTTGTTACCACATTTCATCCAAAATGGATCATTTGTTGTGTTGTTTTTATGATCAAAACATTTCATTATTATTATTATTATTACATAGTGATTCCATTCCATTTCATTTGATTATGATAATTCATTCATTCAGTTTTGTATTTTTCATTTCATTTTGCAAAAATCGTCATACCAGAATGGAACATCAGTATGATCAAACAATAAACGATATCGATATTATCGATGATGATGATGATGATGATGATGATGGTGATAACGTTTGTGTTGATGAGCCAAAATCATCCAATAATGACAATGATGATAATGTTTCAAAATCAATATTCAAAAAAATTCATTATTCATTACAATCATTTATTAATGAAAATTTTCGATTGAAACATGAAAATAAACAACGGATATGTAAGAATTTTCAAAGAAAAATTTATTTGCTAAAAATATTTTTCGCTCATCTATTCTCAACAACTGGTCTATGTTTTTTTGTCATCTGCTATACATGTATCGGTGCATCAATGTTTGTACATATTGAATCACAAAATGAACATAAAATTCGTAATAAAATGGATTTTGAACGGAAAAAATGTATTTTTGATCTTTGGAATTATACAATCACCAATAATATTGTATATCCAGATCGTTGGAAACGAATGGCATTCGAACGTATCATGAGATTAGAAGAGACAATCATAAAAGCCGTACAAAAAGATGGATATTCAATAATTGATGTTGAACAATGGTCATTTTCTAGTGCACTTCTTTACAGTGTCACTGTAATCACTACGATTGGTAAGATTTTGATTTTGTTTCTGAATATTATAATAATGATGATGATTCACATTTGATCATATTGAACAGGCTATGGAAATTTAACTTGTAAAACCGATCTTGGACGTATAGTTACCATATTCTATGCCATCATTGGCATACCGATTACATTTTTATGTTTAGCCAATCTAGGCAATCTGATGGCCAATGCATTTCGATTTATTTACAAACATTTTTGCTGTTCTGATTGTCGCCATGGTTCAATAAAAAGTCATTCACAAATCCAAAGAAAACAACAATTACCACAACAAATGAAAACAACAATGTTTATCAATGGCCATCAAAAAAATGAAATAATAACAACTACCACCACTATAAATAATCATGATGATGATGATGATAAAATACAATCAATATATCCGAAGAAAAAAGAACATCGTGTTCCAATTTGTTTAGTAATTATGGTTGTCATTGGTTATATTATCATAGGAACAATTATGTTTTATCTATGGGAAGATTGGTCACCAATTGAAGGTGCATATTTTTGTTTCACAACATTAACTACAATCGGTTTTGGTGATCTTGTACCTGGATCGGCACGTTATTCACCAATAAATGGTGGTGCAACTAGATTCATAATCTGTTGTATGTACATGATGATTGGTCTTTCATTATTGGCAATGTCATTCAATCTGGTTCAAGAAGAAATTCTAATCAAATGTCGATGTATAGCAAAAAATTTGGGCATAATACCCGTTGATGATGATTTGAAAAAAACAAAATCTTCATTTTGATTGAAATTTTATTAAATGATTGATTAAATTATGATGAAATTGAATTTTACATTGATTAAATATTGATAGTTATTGAAACAAAATTTAAAATTAAAAAAATTAAACAAAATACAAAAATCTTTTAAAAAAATGAAAATTAAATCGCTTCTGATCGATTAATACGATAAATGTAGATAGGATTAAATTGTTCCAATGATGATTCTTGTTCCATGTCGATTAATTCACGATTTTTCATCAACAACAGATTATAGAAATACAAAAGTGCCGTACGTTTACGATTATCATAAATTCTAAGCTGATCAAATTGTAAATTATCTGCAGATGTTGCAAACAAATCATCTAATGTTTCGTTGAATTTTTCATCAATAATTGTACGATCAGTTGTAGAGAATTCTGGAATGCTTGGCATTGGCATTGAATAATTATCTGTACCAGTATGTTCGCCTCTGGCCAATGGAATTTCACCATGATCATAATCAATTTGTGGAGGAACATGATCATCACCATGAATTGATGGTAATGGCGATAATTGTGGTGGTAATTCTTCAATTGATGGTAGTGGTGGTCCAGGTAACGTTTCTTGGAAAAAATCCTCATTTAAATGAGATGACATTTCGATATCAGGAACTTGATCATCACCATTGATTCTTTCAATTGTTGTTGTTAGAATTTCTGGTTCTGGCTGTGAATTAAGACAAGCATTTTGAAAATGAAAAGCAAAACCTTTAGCCAATGATCTTTCTGGCCGGTTGAATAGATCAGCACAAGTATCAAACAATTTCTTTCTCGGGATGAAAACATTTGACAATGTATTTAAACAATTATATGATTCAAGCATATTCTGCCGAATAGTATTATCAGAAATCATATTATTATAATCATTGATGAGACGAAAACGTCTAGTTCGAATTGGACGTGCTCGTGGTTTATGTCGTATTGACGAATCATCTAAAACGGGCAATTCTAAACTACCAAGATGATCACGATCAGAACGAATAGTATCAGTACGGCGTCGTTTTTCAATGGTTGAAGATAAATTCTGTTCTGGTTTAGGACGTTTTGTTCTACCATTCTCTGCAGTTTTTTCAATAGCTTGTGGAGGACTAGGCTGAAAAAAAGGCAACGGTGGTGTTACTATTCCGGTCATTGTGTGATCATCAGCCATTTGTTGAGCATCAACATGAGAAGATTCTATTTCCATTGGGATTGTCGATGGCGGCGGCATCAGTTCTGGTGATGATGGTGAAGCAATAGGAATAGGCGGTGATTGTTGCTGAGGACGTGGCGACGGTAAAACATCGTCAAAAAATTCGTTGAAATCTACCGAATTAACATCACCATAAAGTCGATCATGAATCTCTTGTTCCAAACGAAGCTCATCTTCGGTTAATGGTGGTATCTCCTGCATGGTAATCGAACCTCTTGATACGCTACGTTCTAGAGGAACAGATGATTGTGGAAACAAAGTTGAAGGAGCTGGTAGATTCATGTCTATGAATTCATAAATTTCTGGCAGATTTAAATCGATTGAAAATTGATCATCTGGTAAATTAATTACCCGTTGTCGGGATTTAGTTTTGGCACGGCCACTAATTTGACCGGCCATCATATGGATGGCCGTTGTTGTACGATTAGATTCAATGTAAAAAAATTTACTCTTTAATTTGACCAATTTTGATAAGCCAATTATAAGATCACAAGTGGTCCGTAAAGAAATCTTCATGTTTGATGATGTTATTATACAGATTAAATCATCAACATTTGACGATACAATCTGATATTTAGTTAATTTTTTATCACAATGAGCTGCCAACCATACAATCGCTAATGGACCTTTTTGGGTCAAAATTTCTGGAACGTAAAACATGATTTACCAAAAAAAAAGATGAATTATCAATTATTGTAAAATTGTAAATCTACAAGTGACAAAAAAAACGGAGAACAATGGTTTTCGAAATGAAAATTACAGAGAGACCATTTCGACTTGTTCGAGCCATTCATGCTAAAATGGATTCTATTTAATAAAAAAAAGCATGCATGTTATTTATTGTTTTTGCATTTTTTTTCATTGACGAAATTATAATGTTAAAATTAAAATTTTCTTTTTTCTCTTGAAAATCCATAATTTCCTGAACAGAATCCTATTCTCCATCCAAAAGCAATAATGACATTAAACCAAATTGTTCGTCTTCTTTATGGTCGTAGTCCTTGTTCAATGTATAGGTCGACCATTCTATTCAAGACCGGTGGCCATCAACAACAACAACAAAGATTTTTTCATTTGACGCCTACATTCTGGGCTGGCCATTCAAAATGGCAAAATATTAAACATATAAAAGCTTCGAAAGATCAACAAAAATCTCAATTATTCAATCGTTTAATAGTGAAAATTCGAACGGCCGTACAAAAACAAGGTGGTGCTGATCAGAATCTAAATCGAGAATTTGGTGATGTAATTCAAGAATGTCGTAAGGCTAATATGCCAAATTCTACAATAGATAAAGCAGTGAAAAGAGCATTGGAGAAGAAATCATTTTTATTGAAATTAGAGATTATTGGTCCTGAAAATTCATTATTAGTGATTGATGCCGAAGTTGATAATAGAAATCATTTTCGTAATGAAGTTCGTAAAATATTGAAGAAAAAAATTGGATTCGGTTTTGCCGATGAAGGACGGGCATTATCATCATTTGAAGAAAAAGGTGTTGTACGTGTGAAAAATGTAAATGCTGATACAAATTTTGATATGGAAAAAGCCGAAGAAATTGCTATAGAAGCCGATGCTGAAGAGGTTCGCATTAATGATGAAGATGATACATTATTAATGTTTATTGGTGATCAATATTCACATACACGTGTTAAATTGCATATTGAAAAAAATTATGCCAATCAATTTGTTGTCATTGAAAATGGTGTCGAATTAATACCATATGTACGGACAGAAATATCGGAACAATCATTTCAACAAGTTGTTGATGCAATCAATGAAATTGGTGAATTAGAAGGTGTTAATCGTGTATATAACAATATCTAAATGCTAGAATTTTAGAATTTTATTATTATTTAATATAATCAATTTATTATTATTATTATAAAAAAATTGTTATTATTCTGTCATAAACGAATGAAACAAAAGAAAAGAAAAGAAAATGACATGAATTTTTTTTTGTCTATCATTTAAGACATTTCAATACTTTTTTCAATCCATCCTGGATATTTTTGTTGTATTGAATCGACAATATCATTGACTTGAAAACAGATTGTTTCAATTTGTTTATCAAATGTGATCAAACTATTTGTTTGTTCAAATACAATAGTATTGGATATTTGATCAATCTGTCCATTCATACGATCTTCGAATATCATTTGTGAGGCAATTTTTTCCACTTTAACCAAATCAACTTCAAGCAATGTTCCCAATTCTTTGAATGTAATACTTTTATATAGTTTCGATACGGATAATAGATTATGTTCAATGATAGCACGTTCCAATACAGATGTATCATCTGATCGACTTGTTTGTTGATGTGGTTTGATCATTGTTGCAAATAATTCTAGATCACCTTTTTTAATTATCTTTTCAAGATACATTTTCTCTAGAAATTTAAATGATGGTAAATGTTGACAACGTTCATCTTTGAATAGGATGGCCAATAATCGTGAACGATGTTTACCAGCATTGGCTAACATTGTACATAGTATAGCATTGTTCAATATTTCATAACGTTCTTCTTCACTGATGAAAAATTTATTCGATACTTCAATATAACGTTGAGCTGCATCCAAATATTTTCCTTTATAATCCATACAATTAGCATAACATAGTTTATATTGTATTTTGAGCTGTTCATTTTTTACATCCGATTGTAACATACTGGCACGATTGATGAAACCTTCGGCTTTTTCTTTATCACCATTGGCCAAATATAATTTAGCAATACGTAGATAGATTTCAATTTTAAAATCTGTCGGATATTCTTTTTGGCCATTCACCAATGGTATTGGTTCAAGAATTTCGGCCGCTTCTGAATAGCTTTTTTTACGTTCATAAATTTGTGATAATGTTTGTCGAATGAAAACGACTTGATCTTCAAATGAAAGGGCACGTGAATTTAGTTTGTCCAAAACATAACGCAATAATGTTAGGATTTGATCATCAGGCAACGTAGTGATCTTGTCGAACAATGCTTTCAATACGGTACGAGAATTGACCAATGGAAATGATTCATGGACAACTGTTGAAACAAAATAAATGATCCATCATAAAGAGGAAAAATCGTAAATCGTAAACTTACTTTCATCAACAAAACATTTGACATTATCCAATAGATCGTTGCCGCTATCTTTGAAAATCGAATCGAGAATCTTACAAAAGCTGAAATTCAATTATTTTTGATTAAATCATCATGAAAACTTTGACAATCAATAATCTTACTTTTCGATAAAATCTTTAGGATTACCATGTGAACAAGCCTGTATTTGTTGCTTGAGAATTGGATTAGAATTTGACATTTTTTTTAATCGAAAATTTTTCGAAATTAAAGAATTCAATTTTGTCTTGATGATGCACACAAGATTTTAGTTATGGATCACTCTATTTATAGAATGCAAGTGTATCAAGAATATAGTATCTAATGAATTCGGAAAAAAACCAAGAATAAATGTTAAAAATTTGCTGAAAACAAGATTAGATGATGGCCACAGAAATGTGGTGATGATAAAATTGAAAAAAAAATTAGATAAATCGATTTAGATAAAAAAAACGTCGTATATCGAAAAAGAAACTTGTAACATATAAAATTGGTATTCAAATGCTGCCTCCTATACCTTGAATTTATTTCAAAATGCTCGCTCTGGAATCTTTGCTTCAGTGAATAAAAAAAAATTTCTTTTTTTTCGTTCGAATATTTGAAAAATAATTCATTAAAAATGGATTCAAATAATGCTATGATTATAGCGGAAAATATTCAACAGCCAACTGCTACCGATATTGTTTCATTGGATGTAAACATAACCGATAATAATTCTTCAACATCAGTAGCCACATCATTAGCATCAACATCGAATATTTCCGTTGATCCAGCTTTGGTTGTTGTTTCATCATCTTCAACATTAACAGCAACTGGTATTGTAGGAAATGATTCTCAACATATAATACAAATGGTTACAGAATCACCACAACAACAACAACAACCACCACCACACAATCTACAACAGAGACTAATGTCATTGATAATCAATTACTACAACAATCAACTGTAATGATTAATGATAACAATAGTACACCAACTTCAACTTCTATATTCGCTGCGGCACCAGTAACAACATCGATAACAACAACAGCAGTTCCAGCATCGGTTCAATTGCCGATTAAAATAACTGGATCAACACAACCAATTTTCGTTTCAAATCAAGGTATCATTGCAGCAGCACCTACTGGTACAACAAATGTTTCAACCTTAGCCAATACTTTTGTCAGTTATATTTTGCCTACACAAAATTCAATACAAAAATCATCATTACCGAAATCTGATAATCAATCTACTACAACAATAGTTTCAGCTGCTCCAAATATATCTACTGAAACAGTATCGACAACGGCATTGATCAATACACCAATTGTAATCAATGCACCGGTATCTGATACAACATCGATTCAGCCACAAAAATTGGCCACATCAACCAATCCTGCGAATGTTAAATTGATTCAATCTACTAATCAAAGACATTTGGTATTTTCACCGATTAAACCGACCATTGGAAATGTTGTTGGTAATACTACTTTGATGACAAAATCGATTGCTGGTACCAAATCCAATCAACGAATAGTCGATGGTAATAAAACTAATACAGAGAAAAAAGTAATCAGGATACACTGCAAGGTTGAAAAAAATTCAATTTTGCAGTTTATCCTGCTTACTTTTTTTCTGGTGAATAATTCTTAACCACAACAATATTTTGAAACCAGGAACAATATTAGCCGCTGCTCCTAACACTTCTATTACTAATCAAGCCCAACAACAACAATTGATTATATTATCACCAGTCAAGCCGACCGGAAATTCGACAACAAAACCAACACAATTTATTCCATCATTTAAAATTTTGCCTCCCATCATCATCATCAACTACGGCAAATGTTACGATGGTACCATCAGTGGTAACAACATCACAATCATCAAAACGAGCATTAGCACCTGCCCCAATAACAAAAACAATAGTATCATCAATAACACCAGCTAATGTTCGTCCAATTCAAGCAACTACAACAAATAAAAATATTCAATACATAAGTTTTGTACCGTACAATTCGACACAACAGATTACCGCCACTGGAATTGGTAGTACAACAACTGCTGGACAAATTTCAACCAAATACTTACCTATTAAACAATCGAAATCATCATCGGCAATCAAATCGACGAATCTAGTTCAAGTTGGTCATGGTCAAAAGGTTATAGTTAATCCAAATACGATCAAGATTTCCGGTACTGCCACTACATTGCAGTCATCAATTGCAACGACTATTGCATCGACTACAACAACAACGACAGCATCGGCAACAAATAAATCGAAAAATCATGCTACATCAGTTTGGATGTTACCAAAGCAGATAATCAAAGCGAATGACAGTCATGGATCATCTAAAAGTGGTGGTAATTTAAAATACGTACCTATTGCACCTAATCCAAATGTAGCAAACAATACTATCGGTACAGATGGTGCAAAAATAACAGTCAATACTGTTCCAAAGAATTTGTAAGATTGTTTTTTTTGATTGAATGATAATATTTTAACAGCCATTCATTATACAACAGAATTGATGGATTCGAAGAAACACGACGAAAACCATGCAATTGTACCCGGTCTCAATGTTTGAAATTATATTGCGATTGTTTTGCCAACGGAGAATTTTGTAGCGGTTGTAATTGTCTTAGCTGCTGTAATAATCTTGAACATGAAGAATTACGACAAAAAGCTATACGGTTATGTTTGGATCGAAATCCTAATGCTTTTCATCCAAAAATTGGCCAAAGTAATCATGGTGATATTGAACGTCGTCATACGAAAGGATGTTGCTGTAAACGTAGTGGTTGTTTAAAAAATTATTGCGAATGTTATGAAGCGAAAATTCTTTGCTCAGATAAATGTAAATGTGTTGGTTGTAAAAATTTTGAAGAAAGTGATGAACGTAAAACATTGATGCATTTAGCCGATGCGGCTATTGTTCGTTCGATACAACAACAAACAGTAGCATCAAAAATGCATGTATGGGGACCTGAATTTAAATCAAAACTTCCGGTCAAAGTCAAAAGCGATTGGTATGTGTAATTGATATTTTTTTAGATTTTAATTTATTCACATTTGAAATTTAAAAAAAAAAAATTCCATAGCCATCCATTCAATGTGCTTACGAATGATATTTTAGAAGCCACTGCTAGCTGTTTACTTGCACAAGCTGAAGAAGGTGAATTTGAAAATCATAAAGAAGAAAATATCGAAAGCTTGATTCTTGATCAATTTGGTGAATGTCTTTCACAGATATTGAATTTAGCAAACAATGGAATGGCCGATGAGTAAGTTCAAGTCTTTCGTTTTCCAAGTCATCCTCATCCATGATCAAATCATATATATATTTTTTTTCACATACACATAATAAAAATCACAAATTTTTAAAAAAATTTCGTTCTTTTTTTTTATTTTCTCTGATATATATTAGTGATGGCAACACTGATGATGATATTCCAATGAACGACGATGTTGATTGTCAGAATTGATCACGATTTTTTTTTCGTCATTTTTGCCGTTATTTATATGATGTATAAATTATAATTATCAACTCATGTATTTGGAATTTATTTTATTTATAATTTTTTTTTTTTTTTCGATCAAAATTGAATAAAAAAAATTTCCAAAGAGACCTAAAACTTTTTTTTTTGGCAATTTATTTTTATTTAGATTTAGAATTTTCAAAAAAAAAATCCATTTCGACTTTAGCCAGCTTGTTGTGTGGAAAAAGACTAATATGCATTTGGTCCAAATGAATTGAAAATTTTTAATCATCATCATCATCACGTCATGATAATCAATTTTGAAATTTGATTTTGAATTCAAATCATTTGCTATTTATTTTCATCATTGTTTAACATATATATAACCATCATTGTCCAAATGGTTTTAATATGGCATTTCAATTTATTGCAACGCCCGAAAATCTTCGCCGTGAAGAATTAATGGTACAGATTGCAGAACGTCTAAAATTGATTGATTCTTATTCGGAAACATTGTTCAAACGTTTGGATACAGAATTTCAGAATGTTCAAACTAAATTACAGGATATTAATAAACGAACCGATATTTGTGCAAAAAAAATTTCATTACTTAAAGATGAAAAGAAAGCCATTACGTTGTATTCACATTCAAAATATCCTAGTCATGAAATTAAAGTGAAAGAATTTTATGATAGTTTCCTTATACTTGATCGTGACATTCATGGATTGGCCACTAGCAACAACAACAGTAATAATGATAATGACGATAAACGGGTTACCATTGATGCTACACATGTTCCATATGATGATGATTCGAAAATGAAATCACAATTCTATATTTATGATAAAAACCTAATGTAAGAAATTCTGATTCTATGATTATGAATTTTTTTCCCATTCTTATTTACATATTTTCTTTTTTTTCCTCGTAAAAAAACAGAAGTCATCAATACCTGATCATCTATCTGAATCGAATATACCATGGAGGCAAATATCTAGTCTAAGTTCTTTATTATTGTTTAATTCATCTGAAAACGCCTACACTATTGGTAGTCCAACAACATTCGCTAAACGTTGTACGCAAACAGGGAATAAAATAAAATCTAATGAAAGTGATTCACAAAAATTCACTGAATCAACATCGACTTCGGAAAAAACGGATGTTCAAGATGATGATTTTCAATTGACTTTTCATACAAAACCTGATATACTTGATGATTTGCCTGCCGAATTGCCTTCATTACCCGGTATAGCAGATGAATTTCGTTTCAAAGATACTGGTGAAATGGATATTATTGGTCATTTAAATCTACCTGATTTAGCATCATTATCTAAATCTACTTTTTCGCCTTCTTCACCACCTTCATCAAATCAATCCGAGCCAATTGTTGATATAAATGTTGATAAGCTACCAAAACTGCCCATTTCTGTTGAATATGATGTTGCAACTCCTCCATTTATTCCGCCGCCGCCACCACCACCACCTCCTCCTCCCCACGTCAATGTTGGATGAACAAGCGTTATTGCCATCACCACCAACATCACCTCCTTCGGTTTTATCGGTTGGATCAAGTCCACAAACTACTAAGATACAACAGTCAATTTCACAACATGGACAATTGGATAATGGTAGAGCTAGTCTTTTGGAATCAATTCGAGCAGCTGGTGGTAAACCAAAAAAGAAAACGATTAAAGAACGAAAACATGATGAAAAATTGAAGAAAAAAGATGCTTTAGAAGATTCGATAACTGAATCACCAATGAATACGTCTAATCAAACAAATAATAATAACAAAGGTCTTGATATGATGGCTGAACTTCGAAAACGTCTTGAATCAAGACGTAGCGGCATTAGTAGTGATCATCAACATAAATCAAATAATACAGATCGTACAACAACAATAAAATTACCGACATTTGATGCTGCTTCAACAATGGCTAATATGTCGGCATTGATTCCACCACCATCAACAACAACATCAAATCAAAGGAATGATGATAATGGTGATGATGACGATGATGATGATGATGAAAATGACAAAAATTTCGAAGATTGGGACTGAACATGAATATATACAATTGATTATTTATTCACAACAATAAAATTTATTGATGATTTCGATTTATAAGATTTTATTGTTTATATTTTTGTTTTTTATTTTTTCTATTATTTTTGTATTACAGAATATTTTTTTATCAAATGAATAATAATAATAAAAGAAGAAAAATACCATGATATTTGTTTTGTTTTTTGTTATTTTGTTAAAAAATAAAACTTTCACGATTATTCACATGATTCAATAATAATTGTTTACGAATTCTCATTGGTTCATTACGAATTGTTTTTATGTAAATAAATGATAACGATAATGCTGTCAAAATGGAAACAATGACGGTGATCCACCAATAGAAAATATTTTGATAATTTCGCCAACCAAACAATAATAATATTAATACAAATCCAACGAATGCATCGTAAATCATTAAAGTTTTAATATTTTTCCTTACAGCACCAAATATGCCGATTGTTGATACAGTGGTTATTAGTATACCGATTAGAATGATGCCAAATTTTTTTGTTGATAATAATTCTTCTAAATCATCATCAGTATCAATATGTAATGATGTTTGATTCATAAATGGTTGATAATCATCAAAAAGATTAACCCAAATAATTGATGATGTTATTATATCGGTAACAATGAAAATAACATTCAAAATTACTAGACTCCATTTGCTTAGATATAATGCTGATGAGTATTTGAATGAAAGTCGATAATTAAATATTCGAAATGATGAAGGCATGGTTTGTTTGTTTTTTTTTCGTTTGTTTGTTTGTTTGATCCACACTTGGTATCCACACGCCCAATTATGAAAAAAAACCGATTATTGATTGATTGATTTGTAAAATTGAAAGAATGAACAACTACTACCATACACACACACACAAGCACAGGTATGATGATTTTTTTAGAGAATCATTGTAGGAGTAAAAAAAATTTTCTATTTAATTCAATGGATGAATTCAATTCTTCTATTTTTTTTACTAAAGTCATCAACGAATTAAATTAATTAATAATTCGAATGTATGTTGGACAACATTATTCAATGTGTACACACCGGATTCGAATCTAACCGAATTGACATTGAATATTATAACGGTGAAAATTTACAAAAAAAAACCTAATTAATTCATATACACGATATATAGTGTGGTTCAAGTGAATGGTTCGAATGGGAGAAAAGTTTCCGCGCCAAATTGAAATTTTTTAAAAAAATGCTACAAGAAAGTTTCCAAGAAAAATGGATGAAAAAAAAATTCTTTTGAAACTCACGTGTGTGTGTGTGTGGACGAATGAATGATTAAATTTTGTGATGATATATTTTATTGATTTATTATTATTATTCGATCCAAAATGAATCCCCACGACAATATCGATGATGATGATAATGATGATGATGATGCACCAGTTGAAGTATCGAAAAAATTCTCCGAACAACAAGCACGAGAAAATTTTAAACAAGAAAAATTGGCCAAAAATTTTATCGATGAAAAATTAAAACAAAAACGACGTCGTGAATTGGAACGTAATGTTGAGCAGAAAAAAATGAAAATTGAAAAATTACCTGAAGATTTTCTCAAAGAAATCGAAACCGAATATTCAGCCGTCACCGAAATGCCAGATAAAAATATTCGAAAAGTTGATCCAACAATTTTGAAAAAGAATAAACGAGAAAAGAAAAAATTGGCCAAATCAAAAACAGTGACCACTCAAACAACAAAATATGAGATTTTATCATTGGATGAATTGATCGAAACGGCTAAGGCACCGATCATACAAACGAATGCCTGTAATTTTCGTGAACAAATATTATTTGATAAAAATAAAAATTGTCGACGATCATCAAGAAAAATGATGGCCATTCGTCAGAAAATTCGTGCTTGTTCGAAGAAATAATAATGGATTTTTGTGTTTTTTTTAATGTAAATATATTTTTTTTGGTTCTCGTTACAGGAAAAAAAGCTGATGAATAAATTAAATTTTAAATTTATTGCCAAATCAACAGAAATTAATTTATGTGTTTTTCTAAAAGTGAAATGGATCAAAATATGGAACAACAATATATAATATTGGGTTTATTAATGGATCAGAGAATCGTCAATCAATCAATTAATCAATCGATAATAATTTGTTCAGTTTAAAGAATTATTTTAAAAGAATGATTTGATGGTAACAATGCATAACAATGTTGAAAATAGAACAAAGAAAGCGTTGATCGGTGTAACCGTCGACATTGTCATGGCCGAATTACAAGCAGTACTATTACAGAGACAATGAGAAATCATACCACCAAAACCGCTACGATAGATACATGCATGTTCTTGTTTTTTATATGCACATCCACGAATAATTCGATCATGAGCTTTCAATTCTAATTAATTATAATTAAAAAATAATAATAATTTCAGAATATTATTTTTAATTGAATTCAATGGAAACATACCCGAAGTTTCATCATAGATAACCCATTGTTCTAAACGCCAGCAGCCAATACTTTGTTGACCATTAACTGGATGACATTCATGGATATGATCTTTTCGCAATGTTTTCTCATCAAAACAGGCCGTATCATTTTTCGAAGTACATACATAACAACTGATTGCTGCTGTAACTTGTTCGGCTGTTTGTGCACTGGACACTGGTTGTGCTAACATTTCAGCCGATGTTGTAATCAACGGCATTGCACTTGATGATGGTCCATTGGTTTCTTTAACATCAGCCAAGCCTAAAAAAAATTAGTTAAAGGTCAATACTAGATAAATGTTATATTTCAAATTTTCTCCATATTCCGTACCTAATGTGCTGGTCAGGCACAAAGTCATGAGGAAAAGGATCATCATTTTTTTTGTCAGAAAAAAGAGTTTTTTGGGGTGGCAGCAACGTTTCAAGAACAATCACAAACAAACAAAAATACGACGAGAACAATGATCAATATCCAAGAATCATTTTGTCCTCAACATCCAACGCTCTTTTTATACTCGGGTTAATTGTTGTAAATAAAATTCGACCCAATCCGGTGGTGGTGGTGGTAATAATCGGAAAACCAATTAATTTCATACCACCACCATCAACTTTTTTTCGGTCGATTCGATATCCAAATCTATCACCATTTAACATTGAAGAACATCCATCTTTTCGTCGTTTTTTTTTTTTGTCAAAAGTCACGATGACTTTGCTGGATTTTCATTTTCTGTTTTCATAATAAACTCCTATAGACAGGTCGTACAAAATCAAAAAAATTTCTAAAACTTCATCCATAAACTTGTTGTCTTGTTTCCGATATATATGATGATGATTATAATTGGTTTGAAAATTTAACCTCGAAATTTAATCTGTTCTTTCAATACTTACATAGTCTGATAATTTGTCATTCATAAAAGTTTTTTTTTCATTCAAATATAACAACAATTAAAAATTGCGCCGGTTTATTTTTTTCATCGGTAACATTATATCTGAACAGTATGACCAAATGAAATTGAAAAAAATTGCACACGCATGCGTTCATAAATGATCAGGTAAATACGTGACATCTTTATTCGATTTTGTTATAAACAACACACATACTGCGCATAGTATTGTATACATTGTTGTGAGTTATCATAGTGATCAATGATATCACACACACATGCGATATAATAAATCGTTAAATGTCCAAAAAGAAAAGAAATTTTTTTTTTGTTTATTGATAATCAGAAAAAAATATCTTAAACTTTGATTTCGTTACCAATTAAGTGCGTTTTAGAGTGTCAACACAATAAAATCGAATCGATTATATATTCATTTTAATTGAATATAACTCAGGCAGTGATATTGAGAACCATGTGCACAATTAAGGATGTAAGTTTATTCTTTAAAATTATTCTTAAAAATGACTAAATGATTCCCATTATTTCTTGTTCCAGTCATCATCGATTGATGAAAATGATTTCACTTCATTGGACACCAGCAGTTCATGGGATGATCCAATGGAAGTGACTAAACTAATATATGATCGTTATATACAACGAAAACAACTGAATTCGTTGCAATCCAAAACAATGACAATGGCGACGACAGAAACAACAACAACAACAACGGATGATTTTCAAAAAGAAATTGTTGAAGAATTACGAAAATTAAATCTGGCTTTAAAACAAATTCAAATGGCTGTCGATGATATTCCGGCTAAAATTGAACGAACAATCAAATCGTTTCATGATGAACAACAGCAACAACAGAAAAATTCGAATATGAATGATGATGATGATGATATGATCATGAAACGACGGTAATTTCCGATGATATTGAGATATTGGATTACATACGTAATACCGATATGATGGTGGCTACACAATTGTTGAACAATAATGATGATGATAATAATACCAACTGTGATCAACCAATTTATTTGTCCTCATCATCATCAACTTTAGAAAATTATTATGAAAATGATTTCTATCGTCATTGGAGCCGACATTTTCATCGTCAAACTAAATCATCGTCGTTGTCGGCATCATCATCATTGTCAAATGGAATGTTCAAATTATCATTGAATGATTATAATAATGGTCGTACATGGCTTTATCATTTGGATCATCCATGTCCAAAAGCAAATCAATCGATTATGCCTTATAGCCGTGAATTGGATCTAGATTTCTGGCTAATCAATTGACCAATTGAAAAATTTTGGCTGAATTTTTTTGTTATTCAACAACAACAAAAAAAACGTCGTCTTCTAGGAAATTTTTTTTGAATCAAACCAATTTATTTTTGCTCCAATTGAAACGCAGTAATAATGACCTTTTTCAATTTTTAGGAATTATTTTATCTGATGAACATACATACAAAAAAAAAGAACAAAATTTACTTGGAACATAACCAAAAAACAAACAAATTGATCATGTTCAATTTTTTAATCTTTTCATTTTTAAAAATAATTTTTTTTGTCTTTTCAATTTGTGGCAATATTCTATAATTAAAATAAAAAAACTTTTTCATTTTTTGCTGCAGCCCATACACATTTCATTTATTTAGATTGTTGTTGTTGTTGTTGTAAATTATGGCAATCGGCATTTTACCTTCAAGTCCCTGTTTCCATTCACGTTGATATCTATTGTGTGAAGAAAATCAGAAGCAAATTGCCCACAAAGTTTAGAAGAAAAAATTACCGTTTTCATTTATCAACTCTATTTTAAAACCACGCATACAAACCTTACGAAAACCATTTCCTTTGGTAGGGGATACATTCTTGATTACCTTTAATGATCTAAAAATTCGAAATATTGCGGTATCGAAAATTATACTCAAAACTCCCTGCTATACAATAATCAATTGTCGAAATTACCTGGACAATTAAATTCTTAATCATTATTCGGAAAAAATCAAATGCAAACAATCCAACACGTGGTTGCCCATGGCACCGAATCCGGTGACTTTTGAACTGTCCATCAATATCTTTACGCTTTCAAGAATGTGAAAAAATTATACATTTTAAATAGTGCGGAAAACATCACATATTTCCACTCAATTATTCATCACAACTCGAAGTTTATGGTACTTACAAGGTCATGACATGAGCACCGGCAATCGGTGACATTTAAAGAGATTGCGGTGACGGTGTCATTCTCGAAGCACCCGCCACTTTTTTGGAGCTAACATGCTTAATGCTCCATTGCAGCTTTATAATCAAATCCCTCTGAAATGGCACCCTTTTCATGAAATACTGCTTACCAAATACCGTTTTGCATGTTGACAAATATCGACAACCTCATATAAATATAATTTTAACAAAAAACAGTTTTCCACCAGACAATATCCAAAAGCAAATCAATCGATTATGCCTTATAGCCGTGAATTGGATCTAGATTTCTGGCTAATCAATTGACCAATTGAAAAATTTTGGCTGATTTTTTTTGTTATTCAACAACAACAAAAAAAACGTCGTCTTCTAGGAATTTTTTTTTGCTCCAATTGAAACGCAGTAATAATGACCTTTTTCAATTTTTAGGAATTATTTCATCTGACGAAACACAAAAAAAATTTATTTGGAACATAACCAAAAAAAACAAACAAATTGATCATGTTCAATTTTTTAATCTTTTCATTTTTAAAAATAATTTTTTTTGTCTTTTCAATTTGTGGCAATATTCTATAATTTAAAATTATATTATTATTTCATTTATTTAGATTGTTGTTGTTGTTGTTGTTCACAAATCTTTATCGCATCTGTTATATGAAAACGTAATTTACCTAGGCCGAATAAATAGTTTTCATCCAATTCTTGGTCATCATTTGGAAACACGTGTGCAAAATCAATCATTTTGACAATTGTTTTACGTTTATTATTATTATGGCCATCATCATTATTGATGTTGGTGTTGATTGTTTTTTCACCACAAGCAAACAATATGGATGATGATAGAAATTTCCATCGTCGTATATTATGCTTTGTGAACCAATGTTCAATTTCGGACAATTGATTATCAAATTGTTGTAATATATTGGGATCATTTTGAGCAAATAATAAAAATGCTATTGAGGAAAAGATGGAAAAAATGCGGATTAAAAATCGAAATTCTTGATTGATATTTAAAAAACACATACCACTGGAAGCATTATCCGGTGTTATCTGCAGTCCATATTCACGATTTTTATCAACAAATTCATTGGTTGTACTATCGAAATACTAAAAAAAAAAAATAGAAAAAATTCGAATAATTAAAAAAAACAAAACAAACAAAGTAGAACAAACATACTCTCATTCCTAATATTCGAAATCCAAGATCTTTTGCATATTTATATTTACTCATTTCAGCACGACGTTTTTCTTCACTTGCTTCAGGATCATAAGTAATATAGCCAATTTTAACATCTAATAATGAAATATTTATCATATGGGCAGTAATATCTTCTAGACGGATATAATCAATATTCATATGATCATCATGGAATAAACCATTGTAATGAGGCACCAATTTTTGTAATATTTTCAAGCAGCCATTGTCTTTATCATTATCATCATCATTGATTATATTCTCATAGAATAATTGTTCACGATGACTTCTTTTATCAAAAATAGGTTTCAATATATCACCAGATTGGGAATGTTTCAATATACCCCATTTATGTTTACTTTTACCAAAACAATGGCCAGCAATCTGAAAGGGTAATTGTTCAGCACCATCGGGTATTGTAATAATCATTTTATGATCATTAATCTTCGATGGATTTGATGATAATGATTCGGATGATGGCCGTTGTATAATACAATGTTCACCATTCGAATTGGCTGTAGCTGCCTTTGATGATTCCATTGTTATTGTGGCGAATGGGATGATGGTTTTGGTTTTGTTGATTTCGAATTCTTTTTTTTTCTTTGGAAGTTTTTGTTTACTATATTCTTTACTGTAATTCGGTTTTTGTTTTTCCAACAATAATGATAATCATCATCATCATCATAAATATTGAAAAAAAAGTTGATGACGTATTTGTTGTTTTTGATCAAAATACGAAGCTGAAAAAAGAGTTGAACGAAAAAATTCATAAATTCATGACCATAGTTTGATTGACAATGGAAGAAAATTAATGAATTAAAAATTCGGCGATGATATGCAGCAATGATGACGAGAAGAACAAATTTGATTGACGAAAGATGAAAAGCTGACGACTACGACGATGATGATGATGAGCTCATTGATTGAAAAAAAAAAATATAATGGCAATAATTTGATGGAAATTTATAACGAAAAATCAACGAAAAAAAATATAAAGAAAATTTCTTTTTGTCAAAAAAAAACAATGATTATTTTTTTTATCATAAAATAAATTGATAAGCTTTTCGTTTATCATATTTATATATCAGAAAATGTTTGCCTCGTATCGTATCATATTTCTTAAATCCGGTGTTTGTAGTCGTCGTAGTCGTCATAATATGATAATAGTTTGACGTAACCAACATTTTATTAAAGCCATAGTTTTATCATCACATCATTGAAAATGTTTATAATTGTTGGCAAACCAAACAAAAACAAAACAAAAAAAAAATCATTATCTTGGTCAACAGAATATGTTTATAGAATCTGGATTATCATCATTGGCATTTATGATGATGATGATGATGGTAGTAGTAGATGTGCGATATTATGATGGTCAAAAAAATTCAGATTCGTCAATGATAATAATGATGATGATGATGATGAGGCTAGCCTCATGAATGAAAACATCTTATTCATGGCCATCATATTCATGTAAATCTTGTGTTCAATGGTAATCAGATTGAATGATGATGATTTTTTGATGTAGCATAAATTTCTTTCAATATTCAACAAAAGCCAAGATAATAAGCCGGTTTTGTTTTTCATTCTATCACCATCATCATCATCATTATCAAATGAAGAAAAAACAAAGCACACTATTATTATTATTATTATTTTTTTACATCCAGATGACGTTACTGTACAATTATTCAAAAAAAAAAAAAAAAGAAACTTTAAATTTTTACAGCTGATTAAAATTTTCTGATGATAACTGATAATGATAATGATTATAAGAAAATATTCTGATCTTGTTCGTGCTAAAAGAAAATTAATTCAAGCTGAAATTGAATGGCTTCGATATTCGAAACCGACAATAGTTCCAATGAATATTTCTATCGAAAATTTACATTATCTTGAACAAATGTTTGAAACAAAAAAATATCGTCGTCTTTGTTGGCTTGATATTTCATATCGTGCACGATATAATTATCTTTGTCAACTTCAACAAATTGAATCATTTGATGGTCAATCATTGATTGCACCAATATGTCAAGCTAAAATTGATCGTCTTGAGTGGCGACGACGATTGTCTATGATTCCATTTGTGCCGAACATTGCATTCGATATTACATTCGATAATTATATGTCATCTTTAGAATGTAAAAATCTAGCTGAACAATTAATTCGAATAATACGCCAAAATCGGCAAGAATTCAAAACAAATTGGTTCAATCTTCATATTACCGGTTTGTTACAAAGTGAATCGACACGTAATTTTTTGGATCAATATTTCGATTCATCTCATCGTCATAATTATCCAAATGTATTTTTTCATAATCAATCATTCGACAATTTATTTCCACATGAACAAATCATTTATCTATCACCACATGCATCAGAAACAATCGATCCATTAACAATTGATCCGGATACTATATTCATCATTGGCGGTATTGTTGATCGACGAAAAATTATCGAATTAACTGTATCAAAATGTAAAAAGCTTGGTCTTAAAACAAAACGTTTGCCATTAGATCTTTCGGATCGAAAACAGATCAAATCATTGGATGATGTATTCAGGATGATTTTTACAATGATTAATAATCAAAAATAATTTATTATAATAATAATCATATCAATGTGATTTCATATAAATAAATTTTTAAATTATCACTATAAAACAATAATTTACTTTGAAGTTTAAATTTTCTAAGTAAACATTCGATTTGATAATTAGAGCTACGAAAATGATATGACATATAAAATGGTATCGATTGTTGTCGATTGTTTCTCAATAAAAATGCTATGGTCAATAATAATTTTTCAAATTGTTGTTCATCTTCGTAACAAAGATCAGATCCAATTATATAATCAATATCGGTAGGAATTCGATCATTCAACAAATCAGATTTTCGACCCCAATCTAATGGAATGAATTGTGCATTGACATTGTTCAGTTCAACATTTTTTAGGATCAATTCCGATGCAAAAACATTTTGATCACTAAGAATAACTTTGGCGCCAATTTTTGCTGCCATAATGCCACAGATTCCGGTACCAGAACCAAGTTCTAAAACGGTTTTCTCCATAAAAACCGTACGATTAGCCAACATGAATCGACATAACAGATCAGCACTTGGCCATGTTATCGATGAATATCGATTATCTGAATTCTATCTTTATCGGTTAAAAAAATAAATTATTTAGAAAAAAACGTAATTTTTTTTCGAAGAAACTATAACTAACTTGTAAAATTTTTATTTCAATTATCGTATCATCATTTTGATCACTAGAATCAGACAGTCTAATCATCGAAGAATCAGTTTTGAATTGAAAACATTTAACCATTTGGTGATCCATTTTTTGGAAATTTTTAATCCAGTCATCATCTATGGAAACCATTATGAAACCTTTAGAGTTAGAATAGAATCGATTCTAGAGTCATCTGCTGGATGTGATTATAACCATTATATTCATTGAGCTCCTTGTGATATCTGTGTGTGTGTGTATATTTGTGAGGTATTACACACACACACACAAACATTTATAACAAAAAAAAACTCGCACCAATCACCATTCTTTTTCTTCGTTTCTTCAATGATTATTTCTTTGCAAATTCTTTACCATTATCATCATCATCGTAATTATTTATCAAAATATTATTATTATTATTATCATCATCATCATACGAGATAAATCAAAATTCTACGAATTTAATTTAATTTTATTATTTCATTTTATAACAAAACTAAAGAAAATTATTAATATATTCTGATGATCGAAAACTATTCCACATATATGAATACGAATCGATAAATGACTCAAAATATATATAGTTTTTCCATAATAATAATCGATAAGAAAATGCAATGGCGTAATAATTAATGAAAAATTTGTTCCTATTTGATGTTGGAAAGAAAATTCGAACCGATTTTCAAATTGTCGAATTTTTTTCAAATTTTTTGAAATATCCTGATATGATTAATTGAATTAATTGTAACGAAAAAAAAAAATGAATGGTAATATCGATTCATTGGTGGCCTCAATGGACAAACTTTCATCATCAGAATCATCGCCTATTAGTAATCAATCGGCTAATGATTTATTAATACAAGATGAGACAATTGAAAAATATTCAACTAATAATAATAATCATAAAGATAATATTGGCCAAGATTCGATAAATGATCTGATAAAAATTGATCCAAAAAATCGAATGACAACGACAACAACAACAACCAATATAGATTCATCAATTGGCCATCATCCTAATCACAATCAAATTATTCGTCATCATCCACATAATGATTTGAATGAAAAAAATTTAAATCATCATCACCATCATCAACAACAACAACAACAGCAACAACAACACCGCCAAAATGATGCTCATCATCATCATCCTCATTCTACTCATCATCAAAATAATCAGAATCATAAATCGAATGTTACAAATCATCAAAATCAGATTCCATCCTTTCAAATACAACAACATCATCAACAATCTTCGCAAATATTATCACAGCAATATCCACCATCGTCTACGTTGCCTAATCATCCAAAATATAAAAGTTATAAATTAGTAAGCGATCCAGCACTAAGAAAAGGAGCAACCAAATTATATCGTTATGATGGAACCGTTTCATCGGTATGTTCTATTTTGAATTTAATTTTTTTGTTGTTTCTAAAATTCTTTTGTTTTCGTTCAAAAAAAAACAGAAAGAGTTGGCCATCATTGTCAAAGATCCTCGTCAACATTCTGTATCATTACATTGGACTCTCAGGGAACCAGCTGATTTAATTGTTCCTCGATTCAAAGTAAATTTTAAAATCAATTTTTTTCATATATAATAATGACTATATGTTGATGACTTGTTTTTTTTCATAATTCAAGATTGATAAAAATTATGTTGGAACACCGCCATCGATTGAAGTTTCCATTACTAATCTAAATGATAATATTAATAAATCATTTCTAATTGAAACATTGAAAAAATTTGATTCCATGGAAGAGATTGAAATATTTTATCATCCTAAAACAAAGAAACATCTTGGCCTAGCCAAAGTTATCTTTATGACGCCATCAGGAGCAAGAGCTTGTGTCACTAAACTCAATCAAACATCTCTTATGGGCAATATTATCAATGTATTTTTCGATCCTTTCGGTAAGTTTTTTTTGCGCGGTTTAAACTTGATGTAATAATAAATTTGTTTGTTTTGTTTTAGCTAAAAAAATTAATCAAATTTATGAATCGATTGTCAATCCACCACCGGCTAATTCATTGTCAAATATTGATAATAATTTCATCGATCCAAATCATCTTGATCCAAATAAATCAAGATTAACGAAAACATCTGATTATGGATCATATGATGTTTCAAGTGAATATAATTCCGCTACATTGTCCACACCGTCAACGTTTGAAAATCAATCATTTTATTCATCATCCACCAATACTATAAACACATTTGATACGGCATCTACACCGAGTACAGTAAGTGGTTGGAAAACCAATGATAAAAAGGAATCAGGTAATCAAAGTCCTGTTCGTGAAAGCCTAGAAAAACGTATCAGCAATTTGTTGAGAAAAAATTGTGTCGGAATGGTTGCACCATTCTTTCCCGATTCTGGTAATAATCATCAAGATCCAAACTTTTCACCACTGCCTCATATATTAAATAATCATGAACATACGTTTCATCGTAGAAATTCACAAAAAAGAATCGATGATTCGGATGCTATATTAGGAACGCCACCATCACCATTTGTTTCTGCTTCCGAATATCTTAAATGGCATCAGGTTACAAAAGAAATTGATAATAAAGATAGTGATAAAAATCAGACTAATGATATGAATGCGATGTCTGTCAAAAAACGACATAGCCAAGATGGCCATAATGATAATAATGTTGACTACAATGATGATGACGATGATGATCGAATGTCATTATCATCATTGAGCAGTGGTGATAATAAGTTTGAAGATAATTCTGTGATTACTAATCATCATCATCATCATCATCATACGACCACGACGGCATCGATGGCAGGAACAACGATGAATTATAATGATCTATCTACAATGATGGCCCAATGGAATTCATCAACAGCAACGGCAGCTACCAATGCATATAATCCAATAACAAATTCATTGTTTCCACCATTTATGTATCATAGTTTTACAGCACAGCCGGCATTTAGTTTTTTTAATAGTTTTATAACGACTGCAATGCCTTCCATGCCATCATTAGATTTAAATGATATACGTTCACGTATTGCAAGATCTAATGAAGATATTCTCAAAGAATTACTTGATGATACGCTTAAAGCATCGATAAAAGATTTGAAAGAAATTTTACGCAAAGATATTTATAAAAAAATTGTTGAAAACTTTTCATTCAAAATGTTTGATCAATGGTGGGAAGATTCTGAAAGGAAATATCATCACCATTCTTCTGATCATATAAATGCAGTCACCGGTGGTGATCATGAGAATAAAGTGGGCGAACGTCCATTATCACCATTCAAACTTGCCGAAATTCATTTACCATTTTTGACTAATCCAATATTTGAGAATTCTATCCAGAATCGTTCTCGCCATCAAATAAATAGCTCAAATCTCGAATATGGTGTCAGTCGTGGATTACGTGCTGCAATGGGCAAATTGCCATCATTTAAAAGAAAAATTATTAAACCAAAATCGCCTATTGATGATAAACTATCAGACATATCGGATGATGATGATCTTGACAATAGACGAACCATTCGACGAAGACCTCATCAACGAATACCTCATCATAGACGTAAACGTTCATCTATTAGTTCAGAAAGTTTGCCTAGTCGCCATCATCGACGACATCGTAGTGATATATCGGAATCTTCATCAGCTTCATCCTCATCATCTTCTGAATCATCATCATCATCTTCCGGTTCATCCTCGTCATCATCATCATCATCTGGATCAGAATCCGAGTCAGCATCATCATCATCATCATCATCTGAATCATCATCCGGTTCATCTGATGAAGAATCAGAAGACGAAAACGGTTCATCGGCATCTGTTTCTGGTTCAGTTTCAGCTGAAGAAGAATCTGGTTCTGAATCAGATGCCTCAGGTTCATCATCATCTTCGTCAGCTGTAGCATCTTCATTAGCAGATGCTGCATCTGTTGCTAGTTCAATTTTATCGAAGAAATCTCAGACAACCAAATCATCAACTAAATCTTCGACAAAATCTTCATTGGCTGCAGCTGCATTGAAAACAGGCGAGAACAAAGCAATTGAAACTAAAGCTCAAGTAATCAGTAGAGATATAATGGATAAATCTGTTCCTGCAAAACATCTTGATGATGATGATGATGATGATGATGTTTATGATTCCGATTCAAGTCGAACATGTTCAGCTGATGAAACCAAGGTATGTGAAGAAGAGTTACGACGTCGGGAATCGATAAGCCTTAATGGAATGAATTTTGACGATATAAAGAATTCTAAAACTCGTGAAGAATTTGAAGCATCTGAAGCGCTTATTTCGCTGGCCGCTTCCTGGTTTGAACAGCCATCCGGTGATGATTTTTCACATCTTCAAAATCAATCACAACAAGATTCAAAACTTTCCATGCCACTGTCATCAAATGATCTTATCCAAATGGAACATAATTATTGCAGACGAATGGTAATCGAAAGACAGGAATTATCTCCATTACTGGTTACTAGTGGTAAGAGAAAACGACAACCTAAAACAGCTCCTGTCGAACCAAAAAGAAAACGAAAAAAGAAGGATGAAATCGTTACCGATGAGAATATTACGCCAAGTGTATTGGCCGTTGCGTCTGAATGGAGAAAAGCGAAACGTAAATCTGTTAAACAACCGGAATTGGTTTCATCTGAAAATCTTATGGTTACTGATGAAAATAAATTATTTAAAGATGAAATTAAATCAACAACACCAGAACAGCCACCAATTACGTTTCCAATACGTAATGTTAAAACTGAAGAAACAATTCTATTTGAATTTCTTCATAATGGTTTGGAATTGGAAGAGATTGGCTATCTTAAACGTCGATATCATCAGCTACTAGAGGAGGATAATAGTAATCTACCATGGTTAAATGATATTCATTGGGTGGATCATCCGGCCACCTGTTGGCAACCGCCTAAAAAGAAACGTAAAGAAGATAATCTTGTTCGTGTTCATGAAACAGGATGTGCACGTAGTGAAGGATATTATAAATTAGATCGTATGGAAAAGATGCATCATATTGCTAACATACCGATTGCCAGCAATGAAATGGAAGATACGAATCGGCCCAAACAAATCGTTACAACGCAGCAATTAACCAGAGAGGCTCGTAATCAACGTCGATTATATAATTTGGTTGAACAACAAGCATCCAGTTATCATACGGATCTTCTTAAATTAAATCAATTAAAGGTTTGTCAGGTTTTTAGCATTACTAAATTGAATAACAATATTTTCCATATGCATTCATATAGTTCCGTAAGAAACAGGTGAAATTTGCTCGTAGTAAGATTCATGTATGGGGATTATTTGCCATGCAACCAATACCACCGGATGAAATGGTTATTGAATATATTGGACAGCGAATACGGCCAATGGTAGCAGAAATTCGTGAGAAAAAATATCTACATGAAGGTAGTTCATATTTGTTTAAAATTGATTCGGATACAATTATCGATGCTACACATTGTGGTAATGTGGCCCGTTTCATTAATCATAGTTGTAATGTAAGTATATTAGACATTGATCGTTGATTTGAATTAATCAATAATTCATTCATTCATTTATTTATTATTTAGCCAAATTGTTATGCCAAAGTGATAACGGTCGAAGGCCAAAAACGAATCGTCATCTATTCAAAACAATTGATTGAAGTTGGACAAGAGATTACCTATGATTATAAATTTCCTATTGAAGATGATAATAAAATACCTTGCCTATGTCGATCGGTTGGTTGTCGTGGATTTTTAAATTGAACAAAAAAAAAATTCATCAATCCATCATCATCAATTTTTTATATGTAAAATTATTCATCGAACGTAATTCTTCATATCATCATCATATATATTATTATGTATACAATGATAACAACAGGTACAGCCACCCACTCTCTAAACTGGAATTATTTTCGATGAATTATTTTTTTTAATTTTTATTTTCTTCTTATTATACAACACACACACACACATTCATTTATGTTACACATTTTTTTCATATTATTATCATCAATCATCATCATTAGTAGAAGTAGTCAAATCAATCAAATGTACAAAGTTTGTAAACGCATTTTTTTCCCCCCATTTCTTTCTCTCTCTTCCATTCTCACTCGTTTGTCATTTTAGGAACACAAAAGTTTAAAAATTTATGATTAATTATTAATTTACAACGATGTTCATCTTTGTTTTGTGTGTGTGTGTGTCGGTGTGTGTGCGAGTGACGAGTGAGTGTTGGTCTTCATTTTTTTAATTTAATTTTATTTTTTTTTTTCTCTCTCTCTCTCTCTCTCTGGTTGGTTGTAAATATATATAGACAAAGTGAAAATTGATAAAATAAAAAAAAATCAATCGATCGATTTTTTTTCCGATAATTTTTCGATGCCACTGTCACACATATATATGTTTAGTCTGTTTTTTTTTGCATTTCCAAGTCTAAAAATTATTGAGAAAGGCTTTTGTTGATTGATTGAAAATGTTTAATTTTCAAGTTTGAATTTTTTCAGTTTGCCTTTAGCAACGCTGATGATGATTAGTGGATAAATCGATAATTGGAATTTTTTTTTTGCAACATATTTACATTGATTGATTGATTGATGATCGATCGAATACACTAATGGTGATAAGTTTTTTTGATGATGATGATGATGATTATAATCATTATATATATGATCGATTCAATAAAATAAACAACAAATGTCAAACAATAACATCAAAAAAAAGCAACATATAATCAGATCATCATTTTGGTTAGCCAGAAAAAGAAAGAGAAAAAGATAAACAATAAATCAATCAATCAATAAATTGCAAAAAAAATTTTCCTTTTGAATGATCGTGACAATCTGAATTGTAGGTTAACGTTTTTTTTTCGAACAATTCCATTCGAACACACACACCGATCGAATCATTTGATCAACAAGTAAATTTATCTTGTCTTGTAAAAAAAATTCGAAAAAACATTTTATCGCTACTTTTTTTTTTCCTCATCCATTCACCCATCCATCCACCCCCACATTAAATATTCATCATTTGAAAACAAGACGTACAAGTTTTTTTTTGTCTTATTGATGATGATCGATTTTATTCAATCAATCAATCAAATAAATATATACTACACACACAAACACAGTAAATTTCCCAATTTTTTTTTTTCTTGCATGCATGTGGTTTTTTTTCTCTTTCTTTTTTTTCGTTTTTGACATTGCGCGCACAGGTACAACCTAACAACGTCGATAACAACAACAACAACAACAACAACAACGACTACGACGACGACGACAACAACAACTACTACTGCGACGACATGCAATATTTCTTCATTTTTTTTTCAATTAATTGAATTCTAATCAATTTTAATCGAATATAATTCTTGTCTGTATATATATTCTTATGTTTTGAATTGAATTGTTTAAGTGAAAAATTTTTTTTTCTTTTTTGTTTTGTTTATCAAAAACAAAAAAGAAAACGAAACGAAATTCCTTGAAAAAAAATGATCACAAATTATATATTGATTATTATATAAAAACAAAAGATTTCCACAATTTGGATTGATTGACTGAATGATCATCAGGTAATTAATTATTCCAATATTTCCAACAACAACAACAAAAAAATCGGATTTATTTATTTTCTTAAACTGATTGTATTCGATTATGTTATATATTGCCATTCAATAACATATATTTATGATATAGAATTTGGCAAGAATTTTTTTTTTGGCCAGAATATTCTGTAATGATGATTGGCTATATAACCAGAATTTCTGGTTATATAACACTACCTAAAATCCTCTTTGTGTTTTGATTCTTCTGAGCAGATTCTACATTTCTCTTGTATATTGTTGACATTATATATTCAGTGTATTATAGAATCATCATAACTTAATTTTCTGCTTGTTTTGTTATTAATGTTTGACACACTCATATACATACAACAGACCAAAGACAATATATATCGATCGACTGTCATATAGAGATATAGATGAAAAAAAAAATAACAAAAGGGGCGACCTTGTCCCAAAATTTTTCACTCACACAAAAATAAACACAGAGAGAATATTTATAATTTCATTATCAAAAATTTTTTTTTTCATTGAATTCAAAATATTTATTTTAGCCATCTTAAGAACGAATCATCTTGATAATAATCATCATCATGTCATCAACATTAATAAATCGTCAAAGTGGTGATCGACCACCACATTCATCATCAACGTCATCATCATCATCATCATCAATGAATACACAAACACTGTCACAACAGCAACAACAACAACAACAACAACATCACATGCAAATGTTGTACGAAAACCAAGTGTCGATAATGTTGATTCGGATGGTGAAGATAAATTGATTGATGAATCAAATATTGAAGATTTAGTAAAAGAATTACCACAATCATCGGATAAAACTGTACAATTTTTGGACAATATGTTGGCCGTATTACCAAATAGATGGAGAAATTATATTGTTCGTTCTATATTCACATTATTAATGGTGATTGGTTTCGGTTTGGTCATCTATTGGGGACCATTAGCATTGATGATATTGGTATGATTGATTTTTAAAAAACATTCATTCAATAATAAATTGTTAATAATTTTTTTTTTCTCTCTAAAAAAAAAATTCATTAGACACTTTGTATTCAAGTGAAATGCTTTCAAGAAATTATTGCCATCGGTTATTCAGTGTACCGTGTTCATGGTTTACCATGGTTTCGTTCATTGTCATGGTATATGTTGATAACATCAAATTATTTTTTCTATGCTGAAAGTTTAGTTGAATATTTTGCTTTGGTATTGAAAAAACCAGTAAGTACAGTAACAACAAATATGTGATTAACGATTGTGTTCTAATATTCTGTTTTTTTTTCTATCAATCAGAATATCATGCAACCTTTGATATCATATCATCGTTTCATCTCATTCACATTATATGTTATTGGTTTTGTATGGTTCGTACTTAGCTTAGTCAAACGATACTATCTACGACAATTCTCATTGGTAAGTTTTGGGCCAGAATTCTAATTTTATCCAAAAAAAATTTTTAATCTTTGTTTTTCTCATTTTTTTTTAAAAAACTCAAATTTTTAGTTTGCTTGGACACATGTCACATTGTTGATTGTTGTTACGCAATCATATCTGATTATACAAAACATGTTTGAAGGTTTAATCTGGTTCATTGTACCAGTATCTATGATTGTGATCAATGATTCAATGGCATATTTGTTTGGATTCTTTTTTGGCAAAACACCATTGATTAAATTGTCGCCGAAAAAAACATGGGAAGGTTTTATCGGTGGTGTTATATCGACTGTCATATTGGGCATGATTGTATGTACTAATGAATTTTTAAAAAAAACAATTTCATTTTTTTATCATCAAATTAATAATATTCAGGTATCACATTTACTTTGTGGCTATCAATTTTTTGTTTGTCCAATCGAATCATATGATCCAATCGAACGTGTATTTAAATGTACACCATCTAAACTATTTCAATTGACTGAATATTGTTTACCAGAAACGTTGCAATTTATTTTCAAAATTGTAATTATATCAAGATTTTTTTAGCATTTTAATTAAGAATTTGTTTTCCTTTTTTTTTGTTTCACTACTAGTTTGGTCTACCACAAACCATATCGATATATCCATTCGTATTACATTCATTGGCATTATCATTATTTAGTTCAATTATTGGACCATTTGGCGGGTTTTTTGCCAGCGGTTTTAAACGGGCATTTAAAATCAAAGATTTTGGCGATGTAATACCAGGCCATGGTGGTCTAGTGGATCGTTTTGATTGCCAATATCTAATGGCATCGTTTGTCAATGTTTACATTTATAGTTTTGTACGGGCACCGAATCCAACGAAAATATTGCATCTAATTTATCAATTAAAACCAGAAGACCAAATGAATATCTATCATATGTTGCAAGAACATTTGAATCTGACAATAAATTGAAAATCCATATATCATTCACACATGTTCCATACACATTTGTATAAAAAGCAGAAAAAAAATTTAATTTTGTTGGCTTTAAAAAAAAAATTTCACAAGACAAAAAAAATGTTATTAATACTTCATTTGTTGTTGTTATCCACAATCCACAACATTCATTGATTTGTTATCATCACCATCATCATTGATAATTATCGATTTTTTTTGTTGTTGTTGTTTTTGTTCTAGTCGGCAATAAGTTGCCCATTAGTAAATTAGTATTTATAATGATTGATGATAATATATAAAAATGAAATGAAAAAAAAATGATGATAATAATAATTTCCTTTATCATTCGATTATTGATATTTCTTATTTAAAAAAAAATATTCTGTTTTTTTCACAAATAAAGAATTATTATTCATTATTATCATCAATTTTTGGTGCCAAATAATATCGGATATGGCCAATTTCAGTTTTAGAATCTTCTTCAGCTTCTTCGATTACTTTATATTCAACAACCAATGGTACATCAGGTGATAATGACAATGTAACCTGTGAACAAAGTGGTGTTGCTTTTGTAAATTGATTCAAATATTTTAGGGCAAATGTTTGTGATAATGGTTCCTGCATCGATATGCTAACATTGTCTTCTGGTTTATCGAATGAACTATTCTGATTTAATGTAACACTGCCATTACCGAGATCGCCGGTTGCAGAAAATTCAACACCACTTTTTGTACAGGTAATGGTTACAGCATCACCTATTTGGTTTAGATCACGACAGATACGTTGAAATTTTGCAGCAGGCATTTTTACTGTCACATTGTAAGAGGTTTCCGGAATACCCAAATATTCAGCATCTAAATTCATCAATTTGATCTCATACTGAGATACTTCATATTCGTCTGAAAAAAAAGAAAAATTGAACAAATTGAACGAATGCGTTTTGAACGAACACTTACTTGATGCTTCGAAAATCAATTTGATCTTGTCATCACCATCAGCAGCTTTAACTGTAACTTTATCATCATTGCCAGCACATTTTAGAATTTTAGAAAGGCTATATACACAAAGAATAAATAATGAGGCAATTTGAAATCCAAAACAACATACTTAACAAGATTCATTCCAAGAACCATATTACGATCACAACGAAATTTGGAAAAACCATCGGCATTCAAATTGACTGCGACCAATGATACATGAGATGTATCCATAGCTTGTAATGACATTCCCGATGATGTACATTCCCAGCTAGCTTCATTAACCAATTGATTGATGGCATCGAGAATTTTTTTCAAAACAATACCACGATCCAATTTAGCTTCAAACATTTTCGAATGTATTTATTATTGATTGAGATCGAATATCAAAAAAAAAAATAAATAAATAAATATCGAATGAAATCACGTCAGTATTCAACAACCAAATGGGATTGTAAATTTTAGGTCGACGTTGATGATGATGATGATGATGATGATGATGATGAAGACAATGGATAAAAAAAAAAAAAGCGCGCGAAATTTGCCACCACGCAATTTTTGTGTGTGTGAGCGGTATATAAAAAGTTCAAATGTTAATTTTAAATAAAATAGTGTATTCATATAGATTGAAATAGTCGGCTCTTATGTTTTTTTTTTGGTTCAGTTTCGAATACGCATGTGCATGCTCTTTTACTTTTGTCAATATATTAAAGAAAAAAAAAAAAAAAAATGCCGAAAATTAAAAATACGCATGCGTTTGATAATTTTTTTTTTTTTTATATGAATGAATGTATTAAATGTGGGTGAGTCTTTGAATGACTCATTTTAGGCTTATACACAAAAATAATCTCGTATTTTTACCACCATTCAACAATTCACTAAAATTTTATCGTCGTCGTCGTCGTCGTTGTCGTATATATATATGGCCATGTATAAAAAGTTGAGGGAGTGTGTTTTTTGTGTTTTGTGTGAGCAACTAAAATAACAAAAAAAAAAAAAAACTTGATTCGATAAAAACCTGAATAACAAACGACCAGTGCTGTGTATATAGTAGTAATCGACATCGACATCAACCTCCACATTATCTACAATTGAAAAAGAAAGAAAGAAAAATTTTTTTTTTTTTTTTGTTTGTCTGTATGATACCCGTTTGTGAGCTAAAAACAAGAAAAAAAAACAGAGTCGGGAGTTTGTGTGTGTGTGAGTTTTTTTTCCAATCCAATCATAGAGTCGAATGATGTCGTCCTCGTCGTCGTCGTCGAAGAATTCTTCGTCATCATCGTTTTCTTTGCCTATTGCCAACAATCATCATCATCATCATAGCCATTATAATGATCATGATGATCAAAATTTTTCATCATCTAGATCTTCTAAACGTTTCCGTTCCATAACAACGGAACCAATATCCACTTCCTGGAATAATGATCTAGAAATATCTTTCAATTGTTTTACAGAAAAGAAAATCGAATTTTCAACGGGCCAAATTTTTGAGCCATTTGTGCCAACAACAAAACGACTACGTCGTGAGCAATCAAATTGCTACGACGTAGTTACAACGTCGAGGACGACAAAGGACAACACTGCTGCCATCACTACAATTGATACAGTGAACGTTGCTACTAGTGCCGCCCCCTTTGTTGAAGGTCGAGATATCGACGTGTTGTACGACGTTGGCGATAGCAGCAGGATCAGTGCTGCCATTGATGATGAAAGCTGCTGTAGTCGTAGCCGCCATCTTTTTTCTTCACCACCATATACAACTGTAACTGGTATGTATCGTTTCTCTTGTTTGCTATTTTTCATTTCAATCATATTTTTTTCTGCGCATGCTCCACAATTGTTGGGAGGGGCAGATCTATAGATTTATATATTTCCAAATTTGAATTTTGTGGCGCGTTTAGAGTTTAACTATTGAATGATTAATCGAATTCTTTTTCTTTCATTTTTTTTTAAATATTCATTTCAACAGTATCATCATCAAATAGCGATAACGAATTAATGAGCAATGGTGATTCGGGTTTTCAAGAGCTACAAATACCCTATGATAGTCTGTCCGTTGGTTCGGATAATAAAACTGTAAATAATAGTAATAATAATTTAACTAATAAAATGGAAGATGCAATAGCCATTGACGGTAATAATAGTACGACAAATTCTATATCGAGAAATCAAATGACAATGGCGACCAAATCAGCATCGGTTGCTGGTGAATCTCCCAATAGTGATACTATGGATATAATTATTGCACAACAACAACGATTATATCAATCATCATCGAATAGTAATCAGAATAATCATCATAATGAAGATGTTGATGATGAAATCGATGATGACGATGATGATGATAATATTAGTGAATTTTCCTATGCAAGCGATCTATCCAATTTAAGTGGTGAAGATTGGAAACCTATTAATAAAAATATCGAATGGATACAACGTCAAATATCTAATGGATCTGATCCCAAAGAAATTATCGAACAATTGACCGGAAGTGAATTAATTGGCGATATTGATAATGCTTATGCATGGCGTTTACTCATTCGAATGCTATCCGAGCCATCTGTACGATCTAAATTAGATTATATCAATACTATTAGTGATGTCATTGATTTGATACAAAATTCTAAAAAAATTATTGTTCTAACTGGTGCTGGTGTATCCGTTTCATGTGGTATACCAGATTTTCGTTCACGTAATGGTGTATATGCACGTCTCAGTAAAGATTATCCTGATCTTCCTGATCCACAATCAATGTTTGATATTCATTATTTCAAAAAGAATCCTTATCCATTTTTTAAATTTGCCAAGGTAAAAATATTTTTGAATTATTTTTCATCTCAAAGATTTGACCAATTATTGTTGAAATCAATAGGAAATATATCCTGGACAATTTCAACCGTCACCGTCACATAAATTTATAAAATATCTTGAAATTGAAGGCCGTTTACTTCGAAATTATTCACAGAATATTGATACACTCGAACAGACAGCTGGAATCAAGAATGTAATCACATGTCATGGATCATTTGCTACGGCCACATGTACTGTTTGTGGATATCGTTGCGATTCAAATGCCATCCGAAATGATATTTTTGCTCAAAACATACCTCTTTGTCCTCATTGTGCACCTAGAAATAATAATAATAATAATAATATATCACAAAATATACATCCATCTTCACATCATCGAAATTTTAGAAAAATTTTACCAGTAATGAAGCCGGATATTGTTTTCTTTGGTGAAGGTCTCTCTGATGAATTTCATAATTCGATGACAATCGATAAAGATCAATGCGATTTATTGATCGTAATTGGATCATCGTTGAAAGTTAGCCCAGTAGCATTAATACCAGGTTCAATACCAAAAAATATACCACAGATTCTAATCAATCGTGAGCCATTGAATCATTTGAATTTTGATGTCGAATTATTAGGCGATTGTGATGTTATCATTAGATATCTTTGTCAATTGTAAGTCAATCTTTTCGTTCATTTTTCAAATTTAACTATTAATTTCTCATTTATTATAGACTTGGCGATAATTGGTCGAGATCTTGTTTTGGTCAGGATCAAAATGACGATATAGAAAAATTGCCGAAATCGGCAACCGAAGAAATTCCACAAGATAATGTTGACAATGTCAACGGACAGCTACAGCAAACAAAAGAATATGAATTCATTGCTCCATCACGATACATATTCAGAGGTGCTGAACTGAATGAGTCCTTTGATTCTGATAGCAATGATGATTCACATGAAGATGAAATTCAAAATGTCGATGATGCCGAAAGTTTTGTCGAAGATGATACGAATGATGAAATTTTAGTTCCAAATCAATCACAAGATATAAGTATGATGATTGATGGCGAACAATCATTGGTCATGATGAATGAATCGAATAGTGGTACAAATTCAAATGAATCATCAATGACGAAAGATGATCATGATGTTATGGGAATGATACAATCACCAGGATCGACTACGAAACTAATGATTCCATCAATAAACGACGAATCGATGATGATGATGATGATGACTACGGATGAAACTTAATTTATATTTATTCGAAAAAAATTCTGTTCATTTATCGCCATGAACTAGAATTCATCTCATTTATTGAACTCATTCACGTCATTTTTCTGTTTTTATTCAATTCTAAATTAGAAAAAAATTTTACAATTGTGTCACAAAAATTCTGTAGTCAAATTTTGCTCAAAAATCTGCTATATTGATCATACAGATACACATACATCATCATAGAAAACTACAGATGAAGCCCCACTCTTCCCCAAAAAACAGAATATGATATTTCACAACAAATCATACTTTTTTTTGATCTGGATCGTCTTTGTAGATAATATTCATCATTGATTTTTTTTTCTTTCAATTTTTTCAATTTTTTTTTTGTTGTAAATATCCAATTTTTTTCAAATGCAAACACACACGCATTACACCACATTTATTTACCTATAAAGATTTCTAGGTTTTTTTCTCTATCTTGTGTTGTTACAACAGAAAACAAGAATTTTTTCCTAATATAAAGTATCTCATTTATTAATTGTGTATTCTCTTGATTGAGAAAACTAATATAATCGGATCTTAAAATAATTGAATTTTTTTTTCTTAAAATACATAAACACACACACACACACACAATGTATAGGAAACTTTTTTTTCTCTTTCTCATTGCAATTCAAAGAGTTTGCTATGTGTATACTTGCTTGATATATATATAAATATATGATATATATAATTTCAAAAAATTTGGAAATGAAATCGGATGCAATAAAAAAAACAAACAAACAAAATGTAATTGGAATAATCAAAAAAAAACCGTTAGTTTTTTTTCACTATTTTAATAATAATATATTTCAGCAATGACATTTATACATTTGTGGTTAAGAAGATGAAGAAAATTGTATTCAAATGAATGAATAAATGAATGAATGATGATAATGTGATGTGATGAGAAAAAAAAATCAATGTTCAAGATCAAAAAAATTTACCACAATTATTTGTATCATCATCATCATCATCATATTCTTCTTGGAGATTTATATTTTTATACATATAATATTAATGCAGAAATGCAGAAAAAAATGACAACAAATTGTGAAAAAAATCAATGAAAACATAGCACTGGTGGTTGATTTGCTTTGTGGATTTTGTTTGTGAGTGATAGTATGTTCATTTTTTTTTGTTTGAATTGAATTGAATTTTCCATTTTTTTCAGAATTTTTTATGCTACCCACAACATGGCTGGTGTTCCAGCAGTAGAATCTGTTGATGATGGAGGTGTAGGTAGCTGTGTAATCACGGCTACTGTAACAGAATTATTATTGTGGTTATTATTCTGAGTTTTACTATTCAATCCATTGATATTATTATTATTATTATTATATGATGATATTGATGATCGACTTTGTGGACAATGTGGCCGTGCCAATTGTTCAATACTGAATGGACTATTCCTTGGTGGTACATTTGATGATCCAGAAGATGATGTCGATGATGATGACGATGATGATGTGACTAATGATGAAAATGATGATGTTGATGTTGTTGATGAAGCAGATGATAAACTACTACCAATGCCTGATGATGATGAGAATGATGATGCTGTTGTTAATGGTGAATTTGGTGTCAATAATGATGACATTCGAGATCCTATTGGTGATGGTAATGATGATGATGTAACTGTTGCAACGGAATTCGGATACATATGATGTGTATGAGCAGATGATGGATAGAATAATGGTGATGGTAAATGGTCACTTTCATTGGTTGTTTTTGATTCTGGCGTTGGTGCCTCAACGCTACTGATACTACCGAAATTATCCGATTCGTTTGTATCTGAACGAGATGTATTGCCATTGATGGCTGCTGCAGCTACAGCAGCAGCAGCAGCAGCCACTGCTCTTGCTGCTTCCAGATATCGTATACATTTCTTTTTCCTCCTGTAATGAATGGAATTGTTGAAAATTAAAATTTAAACAAAAAAAAAATGAAACAACAAACACATACCTGCATGGTTTGCACCAATGATTCTGTTGATCGAGACCATATCGTGCACGACATTTTTTCAATGCTCCACGTTCTGATTAAAGAATAGGGGAAAAAAGGGAGAAATAAAAAATTAAATAATTAAATGATTAAAATATTCAAATAATTAACGCATACCTCCATCGGCATTACGTTCACGTTTTTTCTTTTTTCGTTTACCATTGATTGCATAATTATCTTTGGCTGTCCATCCTGGATGTAATTCCATATGTAATTCTCTGTAAAAAAACAGAATTTATTAATATTAAAAAATTATTATGGCAAAAAAAAAAAACAAATCAAATGAATCATACCTTTCTTGTCGAGCTTTATCATAGTATTTTTCTTGTTCAGCTCTGCCTAGATCGTGCCACTAAAAAAAAAAAAAACAGAGTTTAGGTTAGTTATCAAACTCAGATGTTTTATTTTTTTAATTTTGAACTTACCCTTTTGCCTAAAATCTGATTGATTGCAGCACTTTCTTTCAATGTTGATTCAGCAATAACTTTGGCTCTCATTTCTTTCATATAGATCATAAATGCATTCAATGGTTTTTTAATATGCATTTTTTGTTCTCTTTCTCTTTCTTCTTGTTCTTGTTGTTGTTTTTGTTGTTGTAGCTGTTGTTGCAATGATGATTGACCACCACCACCACCATTCAATGATGATGATGATGATGATGATATTGAATGATTATTTGTTTGAGAATTTTTATGATTATTATTATTGACTAATTTGGAACCATTTCCATTTACATTGCATTGTTGTTGGCTAACAGTATTCAACAGTTTACTATTAAAATTATGGCCATTATCCATATCCATATTATTATTATTATTGATATGATGACGATTGTGACTTCGATTAACACTACTATTTTCATTAGTTAATGTCGATGATGATAATGATGATGAAGACATTCTATTAGTGGTGGTCGTCGTATTATTATTATTGTTATTATTGGCTAATGTTGGTGATATTGATGATGATGATGATGAACTACCATTGATTCCATGGAAGAATGGAAAACCATTATTTTTTCCCAATGATAAAGTACTACTACTACTACGATTGGATTTATTTGTCGAACCATTGTTTGTTGTTGTTGTTGTCATTGTATTCACATTATTTGGTTGGATATTATTTGATGCTAAATGATGAAATTTTTTTTCAAATAATTAGAATTTATGGATTAAACAAAACAAAACATACTTGTTGGTAAAAAGCTCGGATGTGGTGGAAATGTTGGATGATGAGGATGATGTGGATGATGATGATGATGATGACCAGACAATGAAGCCGGATGTGGCGGCATAATTGGTGGTGTTCTTACGGCAAAACCAGGAAATGTAGCCGATGGAACTGAACTTAGTGGATATGGACTACGAAATGCAGCCGATTGCAGCTGATACATTGCGGGATTTGGCCTGTTAAAAAGTGAACAATAGGAAAAAAAAATGGAAATGAAAATGTTAAATTCTGATAACGAAAAACGAAAAAAAAAAAACACATACCATTGTAATTGTTGTGTCAAATCCGATAGGACTGAATGAGAATATTGTCCATGTCCAGATAGATTATATAATGAATGATTTCTAGCAATATTGGCTAAAATGAAGTGAAGAACGAAAAACGAGAGAAAAAAAACAATTTAGAATAACATGCTCGTAAACAAAAAAAAACAACAACATTCAAATCAAAAGAAGAAGAAGAAAAAAAATCATCAAAATTTAAAGTGATCACATCGAACACGCAATACAAAAAACATGGCCATATTGATGATAATTTTCACACACACACACACACACACATTTCATTTGTTCAAATTTTTGTTTTCATTTTGAAAATTATGAAAAAAAAATTTTTCCATGAATTTGAAATAAGATGCTAATTTCTAGTACTGAATAACTAATAATCACATGATCATAAATAATGGAAAAAAAATTGAAAAAATTTCAAATGTCAAAGATCGAATATGATGAAAAAAAACGAAGACGACGACAACAACAAGCAATATATATTGACGATCGATTTATTTTTTTTATTTTTTATTTTTTTATTTTGGAAATTATTTTGCTAAGCATTTTTTGTGTCTATATTGTGTGTGTGTGTTTACGTGATGTGTTCTTGAACCTGAAAATAAATTTCGTTTTAGCATTTTTAAAAGGGAAAAAATATTCAAAACATCAACAACAACAACAACAACGAAAATCACACCAATGACCGTATTGAATGGAATGGAATTGAATTGAATTGAATGAAAAACAGAGACGATAAACAAACAGAAACGAGAAAAAAAAAAAAAAAATTTCATCAATCGTTAAACGTTAACAATATCGAAAAATCATCATCATCATCATCATCATCACAATCGTAACAATAACAACACACCAATTTTCAAATATTACCCCCTCTTACATTCAATTTCATGTAGCAATAAATAAAGTGTGTGTGTGATGATAAGTGTGTGATCATCAAAATCAAACGAGAACAAAGATTTTTTTTTCTTTTTTTTTTTTCTTTCAAATCCAATTCACAAATGACAAGAAACAAAACAAAACAAGCAAAAAAAAAAAAAAAAATTTCCATTTTGACTTGATAAACAAATTCCATGATGATGTTTCTCTGTGTATGCTCTACGCGTCTGGTCATTTGTATTTTTACCAAACGAGAAATAAAACCAAAAAAAAAAATTCTGGCTAATAAACAAACGACGCTAGCCTATATATGTGTAACCACCAGGAATCAAGCCTGAATCTTTTTCTTTTTTTTTCTTCTTATAAACAACATGAAATGTAATATCGTTGGACTTTGATTCTACGATGACGATGATGATGATGATGATGATGATAAGTTTTATTTTTTATTTTTTCGTCTGTTTATTCATTTTCGATTGAATGTGATGGCAGTGGTTGATTGTATAATTTATTTTTTGTGTGCAACCACCACCACCACCACCACCACCATCATCATCAACAATGTATTTGTTTACAAACAGAAGAGAGATTCTATCATTTTTGATAAATGATAAACACATCTATCTATTCTATATTCATTAATTGTGAAAAAAAAAATTCAAACAGAATCAAGATGATGATCATCATGTTGATTTGGTCAGAATAAATAAAAAATTTTTCCGTTTTTTTCAGACGATCATATGATGATGATGGAAATCGTAACCATCATCATCATCATCATCATCATCATAATAATGATAACGCGAGATAATAATAATGATGATGATGAGAAATGGGTAAACATACATACACACACACACACACACACAGAGAGAGAAAATGTTGCTACAATGTTGATGATGAAATGATAATCATGAAATGGGCAAAAAAAAAAGTTTTTGCATCTTTTTTTTCTACTAATAATATCAACAATCATCATCAGGATGATAAACACAAAACGGAATTTTTTTTTTTTTTTTTTGATAATTATTATGATGATAATAAATGTGATGTGGTGAAATGATGATGATGATGATGATGAAAACAGGTGATAAAAAAATAGATAAATTGAAGTGCAATTTGGAGAAAGAATCTCTAACCGGAAATCACGAAAACAAATAAAACAAAAAAAAAAACACTTACATAGATCAAAATCCATCCATGCGGAAATGCTCACCGCTTTTGTTTCAATATGTACGGGTGGAATACCCATATGTGCTGGCGGTGGTTGCGGTAAATGTCTTGATGCGGCATCTATTTGTGGATGATGTGAATGTGGCATCATTGTTGCAAACGGTGACAATGGTGAACCAGTTGCCGTATGATGATGTGATGCGGCTGCAGCCATTGAAGCCATTTTATTGGCCTAAAATAAAAGAATAAATAATAAGAATTCATCATTAGTGATCACCATATATGGAATATTTGTATATTTTTGAAAATAAAACAAATGTAAATTAGTTAGACACAGACAACAACAACAACAACAACAAAAAAAATTCAATTTAGAAAAATGGAATGGAATCCTTTCTTTTCGCGTTAGTATTAAAATCCTTACAAACAAACAAACAAACATCTTGAATGAAAAATAGAATTAGAATTAGCAAAAAAAAAAAAAATTTGAATTTTCGTTTGTCGGTACGGTTTTTGGTTGTCATTCAAATTTTGTTGTTTATTTATCATTTTTTTTGTTTTTTTTTTTTCGTTTTTCGTTTCACGAAAATCCGATTTCATATCATTTGGTTTGTTGTTGTTTGCACCAAATTGAAAAAAAATCCATTCCAAATTGAATGAATTGAATCAAAATCGGATCAAACATGGATGTAAAATTTTTTTTTTCACGATGATGATGATCATTATTCTCGCACCTATCTTGATGATTGATTTATTTGATTTTTTCCCCGTTTTCTGTTTGTTTATTATTATTATTATTATTTCATATTTATTGATTTTACCCAGTGAAAAATGTCCAAACACATAAAAAACCAAAATGTTCACATTTCAATCAATATATTAAACACACACACACACACAGGACATTGTGGACAATAAAATGAAATGAAAAAAGTTTAAAATCATCATCATCAACCACCAGCTGAGAAAATCACAGATTTGGTGATGTTTTTTTTAAAAAAAAATTTTATTTCATTCCAAATCATTATGAAACTAACAGAAAAAAAATCTGAAAAGATTTCCGGTTCATTTGTCATCAATATACCCATTACATATGTTTTTTCATTTCATTCGAACAAAAAAAAAATCCTTTGACCTTTGATCTGGATGATCCATATGATTCTCGGTTTTTTTTTATTTTGTCTAAACAACAACGTAAACCATTGATATCAGATCAACCAAAAGAAAAGCAATCATCATCATTGAATGAATAGACTGATAACTCATCATCATCATCATCATCCGATGATGATGACGATGAATCATAAGTATATATACAAAATTTAATAAACGATAAAATTGAAAAAAAATGAATAATGATGATGAATAGAAAAAAAAACTAACAACCAAACACACACACACATATTCATTTTGATTTTGTTTAGTTTTATTTTCGTTGGTGTTTATAATCAAAATAAATGTGTGTGTGTGTGTGTGTGTGTGTTTGTGTTCATATATGTTGATTATAATAATTATTATTATTATTGAAATGATGAAACATTCGTAAAAAAAGAAGTAAATGAAAAAAAAAATTCGATAATCATCATCATCATCATCAACATTATAATCGTAAATGGTAAGTTATGGTTTCTATGGTATTTTTTATTATTATTATTATTATGAGGAAAAAAAACCTAAACGAATCATCTAGACATCATGAACACACACACACACACACAGACAGACAGGGCAAAGTACACAAGACAAGTAATACACTAACATATATATATATATATAGAGAGAGAGAGATTACATTGATATTATCGGTTATATTATCGACGACAAAAACCGAATAATCAAATTTTTTTTTCTTCTGTTCAGCCACCACAACAACAGTAACAAATTCAAAAGCTAGACTGGAATGAAATTTTTTTATTTCAACTCTAGTTATTTATTATTACAGAATCTCATCAGGAAAAAAAAAGTAAACGAATTGAAAATGCGAAAGATTTTCTATCTGTATGCATATGTGTGTGTGTGTGAAATAATGTTGTTGTTAGACGACTATTTCGGCTAATAATTTCGTCCAATATACATATAATATGTGTGTGTGTGTGTTTGACATCGGTCGGACGGCGCCATATTTTTTTTACGGTTTTTTACACTGAAAAAACATCTCAAATGACCATGATGATGATCAAAAAAAAAAGATGTCATCATAATCATAATTGTTGTTTGTTTGTTTGTTTGAAATTTGAAATTTTCAATTTCAAAGAGCCCATCATCATCACAAAAAAAAAAAATGATAACAACGAATGTTTTGATCACTGATAGTAAGTGGTGGATACACTTAAATCAAATTATTATTATTGTTAATATATTCATCTATAAACATGTTTTTTTTTGTTTCGGACAAAAATCAAAAGAAATGAAAATGTGGAGAAAACAAAAACGGAATCAACCAGACCAATTGGTTTTTGGTTATGCAATCAATATATACATTATTTGTTCAATTAAATTATCTGAATCGATTTTTGAAATTTTTTTCTCTTCTGATCATTTGATAATGATCATGATAATCATCATCATCATCATGGCTAATTAATGGAAATATACAGTCAAAAAAAATTTCTGCGTTCCCAATCAATCAATCAATCAATCAATTGATCAATTAATGATAAATCAATCAAATTTGATTGATAAAAAATGATGATGATGATGATGGAATGAATGTGGAAAATGTAGCATAAAACATTCGCCCTTAAATATTAAATGTTGAAATCTCAAAACTAATCAACAGCAGCAGCAGCAGCAGTAACAATCCACTCAATCAATCCATAACATTATCATTATCACTTTGATATTTTTTTCTCTCTCTCTTTTCGATTACGATTAGTAATGTTAATGGAAATGGAAATTTTGAAAACGAAAAACCAAACAAAAATCATAGTGCCTCAAATTTTCAATTCCATGAATTCTTTCGCCTGGATAAACATGTTATTCAATAATAACAAAAAAAAACACTAAAACTATAAAACTAGATTAATAGGTCTCAAATGAAAATGATGAAAAGAAATGATGGAAACCAAATACCTATTGGTTCCAACAGAAAAAAATCGAAATTCATGCATTCATGATTATTAACAATAGATGATGGAACAAATGTGGTTGATGGATAAAAATGTGTGAAAAAAACCACTCTCTCTCTCTCTCTATCTCTCTTTCACTATTGCGCAAACACAGATATTATTATGCATTAAGTGTTCCAGAAATGGATGCAGAGTACATGCCCACTTTGTGGGCTATTTATAATAATGTTTTTATATATACCATGTATATAATGGATATATAGACAATAAACGAACTAAACAAACAACAAAAAACTTTTCACTATACGGTAGATTGAACATGAACGCACACTAGCCAATCGGATTTTGTTGTTCCTGGAACCATACACTACTATTCTACTATATATATATAACTTTATTATTTGAAAGTTGACACTTGATTGTAACAATATAGTAAAATGTACAACGCCATTAATATGGTTGGATATATATTAATGGATAAAATGAATTCAATGAATTGGTGTCCACCAAAAAAAAATCATCATCCCGTCAAAACATGGGCTAAATCTAAAAAAAAAACAAAAATTTAATAATGATAATCGAACGATGCTACTGGCGTGCAAACAACAACAACAGCGACCATGTAAATAGACAAATAGAATAATTAGAATCTTTTTTTTTTTTTTTTGGTATTTTGATATTTTCACACACACAAAAATACAAATATAAAAGTAAGAAAAACAAGAGAGGATGTGTGTATGTGTTCAGTCTATGGTTCAACTAATGTTTGTGTGTTTTGTGTCCTACCTGTGAAATGAACAAATGACACAAACACAAAAACAAATTGACAACAGAAAAAAAAATGTTAATCATTAAACATCATCATCATCATCATCATCATCATCAAGGTAATCATCAACAACAAATGTTTAAAAAGACAAAGTAACAACTTTATGATTACACATTTGAAATATAACAAAATGATGATGATAGGGAAGGAAAGAAATTTTTTGCTTTGGACAAAAATCATCATCATCATCATCAACATCATAATGATGATGATAATGATTACCAGAAACAAAAACACACAGTAGCATCATCATCATCATCAATGAAAGAATAAATGAATGAGAAGAAGAAAAAAAAATTTAGGACAATTAAATTCTTTTTATTATAATAGGTCGATATAGGTCAAATATTCGGTGAACAGAAAGAAAAAAAAATTTTTTTTTTTTTTTGAAATTCTGTTGACAAAATGATATCGATTAATGTTCACTAATCATCCAATCTGATCTGATAATCATGGTGAACAGAACATCATCATCAAGAATTATTTATCTTGTTAATCATTATATATGGATTCTTTTGTTTAAATATATATAATTATCATTTATATGCGATCACCTTTTTTCAAAACAAACTTCATTTATCGTTACATGGGTAATAATCAAATATATAAACGAAACTAGAATAAGGATGCAAAAAAAAATGCAAATTTATTTTGTAAATATGTAGGGAATGTCTTATTGATAAAACAACAGACCATTAGTTCAAACACCAAACACCAAACACTGATGATTGTTTGTCCGTTTGGCTATTCGTTCACATATCACGAATTGAATGAATTGATGACCATTTTTCAAATACATCCGGACTATTTGAGGCGAGAATTTGTGTGTGTGTGTGTGTGTGTGAAAGTGAAGCAAAGAATAATGAAAAAAAAAGTTGTTTGGATTAATTATTGTTTGGATATGATGTTGATGATGATGATGATGATGATAATGATAATCGCACATCTTTTTGGATGGTGTAAATACACACACACAAACACTTGTGTGATAATATCTTTTAAAGATAAACATACAAATCTCATCTCATCTCATCTTTCGTTATCGTTTGATCGAAAAAAAAAACAAAAACCGATCCTGCCATTCGAAAGATGATGATGATGATGAGTGTAGAAATAAAATAAAAAAGGCAAAGAAAATTTCCAGGAGTGGCATCATGATGATGATCATCATCATCAAGTTCAAGTGTGATGATGATGATGATGATGGTAATGATAATGTGTGCCCCTTGATCAAAAAAAAAAAAAAAATTGATCAGATTGAATGGTTATTTTGAATTTTTTTTTCTTAAATCATTTATTTGAACAACAAGGTAAAAAAATTGATTTCAATGTGTC